CCCCATAGGCAGCTCTAACCCTCTACAATGTGATGAGGAAAAGAGGCTCAGAGAGGTTGAATCACACACCCGGGGTCACATAGCTGGCTGGCAGAGCCAGGCTCAAGCCCAGGTCTCTAGCCAGGTTCAGAGATACTCTGGTCTTAAGTTAGCAGACATTCATTGTACACCTACTGTGCAAGGGGACAGGTTATTGTAAACAGCTGCCAGATACAGCCCTTACCAATCTCAGAGCTCAAGGAAGAAAGCAGATGAGATGTGATGGGGACAGATAGGGGCTTGGCAGGGTCAGGGAGTGGTTAGGAGGATGATATCTAAGCTAACACCTCAAGGGTGAACCCCCTGAGGAGTCTGCATGATGACGCACAAGGTGGAGGTAGAATGTGCAAGGACCTAGTAGCAGCAGACCAGAGGCTGCAGGTGGCTGAGGGATGAGAACGGAGCATATCTCCCCCAGACAGGCAGTAGCCTGGACGTGGGACCAAGCTATGGGCCTGCCCTGCAGGGAGTCTTGGGAGGTTCTGTCTTCACCTCTGGGTCTCAGTTTCCTTCCCCATCCTGCCTGCTCAGAGGCCTTTGTTATAAGGACCCAGGAGAGGTGGAAAGGATGTGCTGGGAGAATGAACCTTAGGACAGGGTGGGGCTGGGCTGCAGGTGTATCTTCCAGACAGCCTTGGACTCGGCTGACTCCTGTGGACTCTGTGGAGGTGGGAGCCCGAGGCTCTGAGTGCCTGACAGGGGAGGGGAGCCCAGGGACTGGGCAAAGGCAAAAGGAGGCTTCCAGGAGAGGTGATAGTCTGATAGGGCTGACGGAGATGATGTAGAGCACATCTCACGCAATAAGAGTGGATAACAGAGGAAGACCCAGAGGTGGCCAAGAGCCTTGAGTGCTTGGAGCCAGCAAGAAAAGCCCCCAGGGGACTGGACCCTCTGGGCAGCTTCTAGGGGTTGTAGCAAGGGGACTGCCAAGAACCTATCCACCCTCTGAGTGGGTACAGTTCCCGCCTCCAGTTTACAGACAAGAAATTGAGGGCCAGCCAGGGAAGCCACTTACTCAAGGAAGCCAGGATTTGAACCTAGGCCAGGGCTCTAAGGCTCTGGGAGTCAGGTTCTGATGTGCTTGGAGCCCCACAGTCATGTCGGTTGGTGGGCCCAGCCCTCTCTCCTCTCCCCCAAGACCTGATGGGACCTCCAGCAGTGAGAGCTTGCACACTCCAATACCACCCCCCCACTCCCCCGTTCTGCTGCCTCAGCCCTTCCTCCTGAGCCACCGGGCCTGTGTGTTTAGCAGTTTCCACACGTCCAGCGCCCGGGGATGGACTGATTGATCTGTAACACCAAAAAAATAATAATGGCTTGATCGTTACTGAGGATTAAAAGTAATCCTTTCGCCGTGGCTATTGCAACTCCGTTATTCACGAGTCAGCGGGCTGACCCGGGCCTTCGAGCCCATGGGACTCCATGAATTCAAGAAGACTAGGGGCTAGGCACCCCCCACCAAGGTCTCCCTCACCAGATCTCCCTCACCTTGGCTGCTCAGCTAGGGAACCAGAGGGCCTGCAGCCCCCATATTCCTCGGGCCTGTGAAGCCCAGGGATAGAGCTGAGCCCTGAGAGGGTAAAGGAACTGGCACCGCTGGCTGGCAGGGGAGGTGGGTACAGGAGAGGGCAGCCTCTCAAGGCTGCAGTCCAGTTGAGACTTCAACTGGTGCAGTTTGGTGTTTGCTGCCCCATCAACCCGGTGGCTTTTCTGAGGCAAGAGGCCTGATTCTGGTTATTCCCATCCCCTGCCCTCACCTAATTCCCCACGAAGGGCAGTGGCCTCAGTGGAGCCCCACCTGGGCTTCAGGCCCACTCTGAGAAAGGTCTGGGGTCCCTGGGAAGGTCATAAGCCACAGGGTAAGGAAAGGGGCCGTGAAGTGATGGCCCAAGGCTCACCCCTCAAGGTGCGGCCCCAGGGGCTATCCCTAGGCCTTATACCCTCTCATCCAGGCCAGGTGCTAAGCCTGCACCATAGTAGATTCTCAGCTAACAGTAATTACAAGTGTGGTGTCATGTGTGTCACATAGTAATGTCCTCTGCAAAAGAACACAGCAGACTTGTGAATCAGGGGCCTCATCCATCCTGGGAGTTGGGGTCAGGTGTTTGTTGTTTAGGCTGAGAAGAGGCCCCAGGATGGAAGTGAGTGCAAGTGGACCCATCAAAGAAAGCCTTGCCCTTTTTTTTTTCTTTCATAGTTTATTGTCAAGTTGCTTTCCAAAGCCTTGCCTTTTATATGCAGAGCAATGGGAGGCTGCTGGAGGGCTTAGGGGCAGGAGGTAGCCACAAGATCAGATCCACATTTGGAGAAAAGATAACAAAGGGCGAGAGAGGACACAGGAGCCTGAGGGAGGGCAGAGCCTGGGCTGGGGAGGAACAGTAGGTGGTTTGAGTGATAACACGGATGAGATATAGGCGGCAGAGATTCCAAGACAGATGGGCTCATTTCAAGAGGGGACGGTATGAGCTATAGTGGGCCTGAGGGTCACCCTAGGAAGGTATCCAGGACCTCATAGGGGGCCGGGATTGAAAGCAAGATACGGGAGGTGTCTAGGAGTAGAGAGACCTGTGGTCCCTGAAGCTGGGTAATGGGGGTAGGGGCCCCCAAGCAGGAACCACAGAGCAGGGGAGCAGAGGATGGAGCCTAAAAAGAAGACAGGTTGGGTAGCAAGAGAGGGAATCAGAGTCCAAAAGGGGCTCAGCATTGTGAAGTGAGGGGGTTTGACTTCAAGAGGGGCTTTCCTACCCTATCCCCAAGATCCCTAGCCTAATAGTCTTCCAGGCATTCAGTGCTCTTGGCCTGAGGAAGAGGGGGAGCTAGGCCCAGTGAGAGTGAGGATGGCCCTGGTCAGCCTAGCCTGCCAGAGGTGGCATCCTGCCCCAGAGAATGGAGGCCACACCTCTGCAGGCCGTACTCTACCACCACAACTGTTACATGCTGGGAGGGAGAAAAACTGGTCCCCCAGGTCCTGATCCTCATTTCTCCCTCATGGGGAGCTGGCAGGCTTTGTTTGTATCTCCCCACTGAGACCTACATGCCACACCAGCCCTGGACCGATGGACGGGGGCATGTGTCCTAAATACCAAGAGGCCAGGGCCTTCTGAGTAAGGGCTAGAGGCCAGGGGGCAGGACCCCACAGCTCCTACCCCACAAGAGTTGCCCTGTCCCTCACTGGGCATGTTGGGCCCGTGGAATGTACCTTCAGACCTTGGTCATGGGCTGGGCAAGACAAAAGTGGTTGAGGGACGCCTGGGGGGCTCAGTTGGTTGAGTCCGACTTCGCCTCAGGTCATGATCTCACAGTTCCTGAGTTCGAGCCCCACTCTGGGCTCTGCTGACAACTCAGCGCCTGGAGCCTGCTTCAGATTCTGCGTCTCCCTCTCGCTCTGCCTTTCCCTCGCTCATACTCTCTGTTTCTCTCTCTCAAAAATAAACATTTTTAGGGGCACCTGGGTGACTCAGTGGGCTAAGCATCCAAATTTGGCTCAGGTCATGATCTCACTGTTTGAGAGTTCAAGCCCCGCATCGGGCTCTGTGCTGACAGCTCAGAGCCTGGAGCCTGCTTTGGATTCTGTGTCTCCCTCTCTCTCTGCCCCTCCCCCCTCATGCTCTGTCTCAAATAAACATTTAAAATTGTTAATAAATAAATAAACATTTTTTTAAATTAAAAAAAAAAAAGGACAAACATGGTTGTGAGGGCCAGACTCAGAGCCCCAGCCTGACCCCAACTATGTGACCTTGGGAAAACTGCTCACTGTCTCCCTGCCCAGGTATCCTCATCTGAGGAAGACATGAACAGTGGCAGGTACACATGATGTGTCACCAGCCTGGTGGCAGGCTTGGCATGCAGTAAGTGACCAATTCATGGTAACTTGGCAGTTACCAAGGTTTATGATGGTTAATCATGGCAGTATGATTAACAGGACTTTACTGCCCTTAGCTCCGCAGGAGGCCCCCGAGGGCATCTTCAGGAGCTCCAGGAGTTCCTGGAGGGACAAGATCTGTGAAGGTGCAAAATAAGAATCTCTGGGCAGCTGAGGTTCAGGCCCTGAGCGGGGCAGGGTACCAATGTCTCTCCCAGCAAGCCTTCTATGACATCCTAAGTTCCCACAGTGCTAAGCTTCTTAGAAGCACTTCAGCTATGCCTGCTCCGGTTGTCCTACTCAGTTTTGTGCCTGTTTCCTCCTCTAGATTGTGAGAGGACAGGGCTGGCTGGCCTGCCACATCTCCACACATGAGCATGGTCTGGTGACAGGCATGGTGGGTAACAGGATGTGGGATAGAAGGACACAGAGCTGTGCTTACAGGCACAGGGGCCATGATGGAGGAGAGTATAGGAACCAGCCCCAAAGGGTGTGCCAGGCTTATATGGACAGAAGGCTTAAAAAGCCATGCTGGGAAGGGGCTCAAGAAACCAGGACAGGGACAGTGGTAGGGGACCTGGGTGGGCAGAGGTGTGCTAGGGGTACCTCCTGTTGGGCCCTGAGCAAGCTGGGGGCAAAGACACATCGGCAAGGCACTCTGTCACTTGTGGCGGTTCACCCTTGACTAGGGAGGGCCTCCCCTTGGCACTGGAGTGACTGGTTTGTTGGAAGTCGAGTGGCAATGGGGCTTGACTACAGGACCTGTGTTCTACTATGTCCCAGGGGTCCCCTGCCATCGTGTAGGCAGGAATGTGACCGGGCTAAAGTACAGGGAGTCCCATGGAGATGTCACATGGAGATACCACTCAGGTCACTGTGCAGGCTTCACCTGTCCCATGTGAACCCAGCTGTGCATGGGGGAAGGGCCCACACAGCAAGCCAGAGAAGGTCTGGGGCCAGGGAATCTCTGAGGGTCTGGCAGGATGGGACAAGGGAGTCCCCGAGCCAGCCTGGCCCCAGGGAGTACTAGGGACGGAGAAGGCTTGGGCTAGGCATGAGTCTTCCTCAGCCTCTGACCTCCCTGTGCTCTGTTCCTCAGAGATTGGCTGACGCTGCAGAGAACTTCCAGAAAGCCCACCGCTGGCAGGACAACATCAAGGTAAGAACTGCAGTACCTCCCCAGCCCCATGACCTGCCCACCCCCAGCAAGGATAGACAGGAATTTGGGGGAGGGGGCATTGCCCAGACACACTGGAGAGGCACCTAGGGCTTTGTGGAAAAGAGCCTGGAACCTTTGTCCAGCATTCAGCAAACATTTGAAGCTCTCCTAGGTGCTGGGACAGAGGCTGTAGATATGAACCTCTCACTCCTCCCCAGAGGAGCTGTAGAGTCACCCATGGGCAGACAGCCTGCTCTAAAGTGATGCCCCCCAGAGTTGGTGTTGCCTTGATGGCTAAGGATGTGCCCAGACTCTGGAGAGACCCTCGGGCAAAGAAGTCCCTTGACTCCAATACTTTTTAGACTTTAATATTGACCTGGAAGAGTCACTACAAGAAAGGGACTCTGTTCTCTTCCTGGGAGTTCCTTGTCTTCCAGGAAGCCATCAGCCTAGGATAGGGGACTAGGCTGTCACAGCCACAAAAGCCCCTTCTTCCACCAGGAGAACTCAGAAGGAACCCAGGTACCAAAGGAGTGGAGGGGTGAGAAGCTGGTAGTAGGTCTCTTCTTGAGGGTGGAAGGTCCCAGAATGTGGAGGAGGGAAAGGAAGCCTCACTGCCCCCCAGTTTCAAACCCAGGTAACCCTCACCAATTCAGGCAGCTGTGTTGATTTGGACTGAGGCTTGATATACCTGCACCATTACGGTCAGGCCAGCATCTCAGAGGGTCACAGTAAGCCAGAAGGTAGACTGAGGCAGGGTTCCTCCCAAACTCAGACCCTCCAATGCCAGGGATGCTGGAACGCTCAGGGACCAAACCAGTTGGTAGTGCTCGTGTGTCCTCCACGGCTACTCAGGCACCTGTGCTATGTCTCCTGGTGGTCTCTCCTAAACATAGGAAGAGGCGCCAAGAGCTGCCTACTGGGGCCCAGGGACCAATAAGGGGCAGGTAGGCCCTTCACTCCAGCTCTGGGCCTGGCACATCTGGGGGACAGGTGGATTATTATCCCTACTTAATGCCTTAAACTTATTATCCCTACTTAAACTGATGAGAACACTGAGGCACAGGATGCTAGACCAACCGGACATACCTGTTGATGGCAGAGATTCACAGCTGGGCTGCCAGGTACCAGGGGGTTCATGCCTATGATCCAGGCCCACTGAACCTGCCTGTCCTCTTCCCTGGTCCCCATCCCTCCAGGCCACCCTGAGCCTTCCCCTACCTTGCCCACAACATGGCATTCTTCCTATGCTGCCTGGTGGGTGCTGGCTGCTACCCTTAGGGAGCTCAGGTGGGGTTGGAGGTAACAGATGGTTTTTTACAGTGAACACATAAATGAGCTGATGACTCCTTGGACTGATCCTACCTCCCCAGGAGCTCAGGACTGGCCTTCTCTCCCTCCCTTTCCAACACCACCACCCATCACTGGGTCTCCATGCCTCCTCAGCCCCTTGATCAGAAATGTGCGTGGTGGTGGCCACGGCGCCTACCACTCAGACCATGTCCCTGCCTACAAACAGCGCCTCCCCTCCCCAAGTAAGTCCTCTGCAGGACCCAGCCCTAAGCCATGCTCAGGGCCCCAGGATCCGGCTGTTCCTGCCCCCTTGTCAACCCCACTTGCCCCCCAGCTCCTCCTGTGCCTCAGCCACACTGAACGCTTCACTCTAGGCCCATCCCCAATCTCCATCCAAATGCCTCCTATTCCTCCTGGAGGCCTGACTTGTCTGTCCCTTCCTAGTGAGGCCTCTCCCATGCCCCAGTCCATCAGCTTCTCCACTTTCTGGGCATCTGAGACCCTCAGCTCTTACTCCAGCTCTTCCTTTGTTTCTGACATATCTACGTCCCCCACCCCACCCCCAACCCCCGCCCAGGACTCTATGCAGAGCAGACAGGACTGGGAGTGAAAGAATAGGGAATGAGGGAATGAAAAGTCCCACTTTCAGCCTGGTTTTCTCTCCCTCCCAGTCCAGGCCCCAAACAAGAAGACAAAGAGGCTGCTTCAGGCCCAAACATTTCTTTTCCTGACTCTGCAAAAGACCCCAAATTACCAAGGATCATCCTGCCAGACTCCCGACCCCTGATTTTCAGCTACTCCCAGAGTCAGGAATAGCTTACCCCAAGCCAGAGTGGGCACTGTAGGGGCTTGCCAGGAAGGAGGGCCAAGGTCTCAGGGGCATCCAGAGGGTGCTAAGACCAGTGCTGCTTCAGATACTGAGTGTCCATGGGGCCCAGCAAGGGTTTGCCCCTCTCTGGGCTCCAGTTTCCCTATCTGGCAAAGGACTAGCTGGTCTTTGGTGCTGCCTGCTGGCCCAGGCATGGTGTATGAAAGGGTAGGTCCACACATCAGGCCATAGAGATGCCAAGTTGGTGACAGTGTGAGTACATCTCTGGTCCTCGGTGCTCTTGTCCTAGGATGAGGCAGGAGTGAGCTCTGGCTGGCCCCCTCCCCTCAGCTTGACCTGGAGTGCCCCCAGCTGTGGAAGTGACCCCAGGGCCAGTTGGTGTTTACCACCGCCTCCCCTCAGTCCATCAGTCTGCCTGTCTGTCTATATCTTGAGCAGGATGGAGCTGTAACCACCCCCTGCTTCTCAGCTGCTGGGTCAGGGCCCTGCTCTTCACCAGAAGCATTGCACTTGCCCCAGCTGCCAGGACGAAAGGCATAAGTGCTAATGGTGGGCCCGTTAGCTGGCACACCAGCCATGCCTGCCTGGGCTGCCAGGGAGAGCTGGCAGCAGCTGCAGGTGGGGACTGTCCAAGCCAGGGGAACACGGGGACTTGAGGCTGGGAAAGCGACATTGTTTTTGTCCCTTGCAGGCACACCACCCACCCTTGAAACCATGTCCTTCCCAGTGACCTTCAGGAGGTACAGACAAGGAGCCATGTTCCACCCAGCACTCTAGGAGAACCACAACCCCAGTGTCAAACTCAGGCCCTTTACGTAAGCCGGGCCAACTCCCCGGAACACCCTCCCCGCCTCCTTCAAAAGAGCAGTGCCTCTCCTTCCCCAGTTAACTCTCTAGGGCTCCTCTTTCTGGTCTCTGAGCCTAGGATTGGGACCTATTGCCCCAGGCCAGTATCCCAGTGGGCTCATATGTCTGCCCCACTCAAGACTCCTGTAGGCCGGAAGCAGTTGGACCTGATTCAGTATTGCCCACCAGCTGTCTATGGGCCCAGTTGAGTGCCCTGTGGACAGGTTAGCCAGGAACAGCTGGGCCTCAGTCTTCTTATCTCTGAAATAGGGAGAATGGCACCCAGCAGTTCTGGGCACAGAGGAGATGCTTGGCACAAGGAATCCACTTTATGATCAGTAGGATGTGCCCCTCCCTGTGTCGACAGCACACAGTAGCTGTATGTGCAGACCTCTGAGAAATGGACAGTGGTATAGCCACGTCTGTGTACACACACCATCGACACCAGCCCAGGGACTTAGGGGATCCTGGGGCCTGCAGGGTCAGAGCTGGGACAAGAGAGCGAGGGAGATATGTCTGGATGGACCCCGGTTCCCCTCTCAGGCCACGACCCCACACACTGGCTGTGGCAGAGGCAAGGAACCTGTAGCCACAGCCCTGGTCACAGCCCTTGGACACCAGGAAAGCCATGGTCCTTGTTAGCAGGCAGCACCTCCCATGACCCTGCAGACAGGCAGCAGGTGCTCTGGTGCCTATAATACTTAGGGTAGATGAAGATGGCCTGCCTACTGGACAATGTGCCTGGCACCGGCACCACACTGTGTCAGCATTATCTGCCATCTAAACCACCACCAGGGAGGAGCTGGGCCAGCACATGGGTGGAGGAGGCCAGAGAGGCCATTGGCCCCAGAGCCTCAATGCCAATATCAGGGCCTGCAGGGGGACAAAGTCCTGCCCTGGGATTCTAATGGAGGAAGCAATCCTACTCTGGGGAGTCTGGGGGCGGGGGGGGGGGGGCACAGCCCTACCTTGGCGGGTCTGATGGGAAATGTAGTTCTGTCTGGGAACCTAAAAGGAAGACTGAAGGCTAGGCCAGGCCAGAGGAGCCGGCTGGACAGGACAGGTGGCCTCCCCGGCCTGAGGTCTGCCCCAGCCATCAGGCCTCCTGCCTGCCTCTCTGCCAAGCCTGCAACAGACGGCTCTCTCAGAAAACAGTCCTTTTGGCTGAGCTGAGCTGGCAGTGAGCCAGGGCAGGAAGGCCAAGCATCCTAACTGTATCCCAAGGTACCAAACATAGACGCCAACTGCTATTCCCCATGCTCACTTCCTCGCCCTGTTTCCTGGGACCTGCCAGCACCCCTCATGTTCTCTCTTGGGCTCAGCTCCAGCTAAGGAAAGTGTATGTGTCACCTATACAAGGGCTACATGGGCCCCTAGTCCTACCCTTCGTGTGTCATCTGTGTACAGAAATCCACACAGGGGAGAAATATGAGTTCAGAAGGGGTGATTACCTCCACGCCCTGCCCAGTTTGAGCAAAATGGCTCCTAAAATACCAGGTAATAGAAAGGGGTGTTGGGTATAGACCCTGGACATTAAGGATGCCCATTTCTCCCCAAGCAGAAGGTTTCTTCCATGTTCAGGGCTGTGGAGTTGCAAACATAAGGGCTGACCATGCACAGGATTGGCCCCAGTGCCTGGGGAGGCCCTGCTCCTTGTCCCTCTAGTGCCCTCAGAGGGGACATCATCACCCTGATTTTATAAGTGAGAAATCAAGGCCCTGAAGCAAAGCCTCACTGAGGCTGCAGGATTTTTTTTTTAATTTTTTAATTTTTTTTTTTTTTAATTTATTTCTGAGAGAGAGAGAGACAGCGTGAGCAAGGGAGGGTCAGAGAGAGAAGGAGACACAGAATCTGAAGCAGTCCACTGGCTCTGAGCTAGCTGTCAGCACAGAGCCTGATGCGGGGCTCGAACCCATGAACCATGAGATCATGACCTGAGTCAAAGTCAGACACTTAACTGACTGAGCCACCCAGGCACCCCAAGGCTGCAGGATTTTTAATAGGCCCCCATGCCTCATCGATGAGATGCCGGTGACCCCCGGGGGTAGTCATGGTACCGCTGGGGATTTTGAGGTTCCAGGCTCAGTCTTCACTCACTGTTCCAGATCCCAGAGCTCACGTGTTCTGGTCAGGATTTGAGGCCAGGACCCTTTGCCAAGGCCCCTGCGTGTAATTGCTAGGTACCACCTCCTCGTGGTCTAACCAAGGCGGGGCAGTAATTGTGGACCCTGGGGCCCTGCGCAGGCCAAAGCAGACATGGAGGCCTTTCCAGGGACCTTCCCACCCCAACCCTGATGGCCACACCCCCAGCTCCACATCACATCAAGCATAGAAACCACAGCTGTGTCTACAGTGTATTGTCACACATGTGACCTTGCCCACCACCACCCCATGCTAATGCTACTCTCTCCCAAGGAAGGGGCATGGCCTGGCCTCTCAAGGTGGGAGACATAGGGAAGGGTCCTGCCTCCTGGGGGATAAGGGCTTCATACAGATTCCTGAGCCTTGCACATGGTCTGCAGGGGACCAGAACCCCCCTGTATGACATGTTCCCCCATGTCACTGATGCCACCAACATCTGATTCTCTGCTGAGACCATGAAACAGCAGGACAGCAAGACAAAGGGAGCCATTGCAGCAGCTAAAAGGTGGCCCAGGGGTGGCCCAAGTGCAGGCAGGACCCAGCCCGGCCTATGAGAGGAACACAGGTCTCCTGGGGGCCACAGAGTTTCCGGCCCCCACCCATGCCCTCTCTTGTCCTTGCTGGAGGTTTGCTTAAAAAGTTGGTGAGTGAAGCCCCATGTTCTAATCTGCAGTCCTCCCACTGCACCCGCCTGTTTTCATTACGGAGGGAAAGAGCATCAGAGCCGTGTTTATAACCCCCTTTTAGATAACAAATCACATTTTCTTTTTGCCAGCGAGTGTGTTGAATTGATATTTTTTCCCCTCGGTTTAATGGGTTTGTGTGTTCAGGAATGATCTTCATCAACCGAAACTCCTTATTGTGTTTGATGTAATGTCAGCTTTCATTATGTGCTTCGGTCGGAGCCGGGCACAAGGAAAGGCCGAGTACCCTGGATCCTGGGCCCTGGCCCTCACCCCACCCTGGTCCCGCCTGGCCTCCAGTCTTCCTGGACTGGTGGGTGGGAGGGTGGGTGTGGGAACGGTTGGAGATTCAATGGGAAGGCGGGTTGGAGCCTGGGTGCAAAAACTTTCTTACCCCTGCCATGTCCTCATCTGTATGTTGGGGGTCATAAGCCCTGTATCACCCTATGTGCAAAGCGCTAGATGCAGCAGATGCCTCTGGTGATGGAAGCAATCAAGTCACCTCCAGTCTTACATTCATCAAGCTGTTGTGGTCTTGCCCAAGCATGGTGCCCGGCATGTAGTCAGTGTTGCAGAGTATCGGGACTATGCATACGGGTGTAGCCAGTGGCCTGTACCCCCCAGACCTCTGGTGGGAGACAACATACCACTGTCCACACAACAGGCCCCCATACTGACCACCTGGAACCATGGCCTCAGACCCTGCACCTGGGCAGTCACCAAGGCCAACCCCGACTCTGAAGCACGTGGAGCCTGAGCTGGGAGGGAACAGTGCAGCCCTGAGGTCACATAGCAAGGAAGTGGCCAAGGTGACTTCTGCCCACCAAAGAGTAATCGCTGCCTCTGTGCTTGCTGTATTACAGCCAGACCATTGGGAGCACCATTGGGACCAAACTTCTTGGTCAACACCCCCATTTTTAGACCACAAAGAAGCAGGCTGCCAGGGCCATGCACCAGGTTTCTGCCATACAAAACAGCACTGAGGAGCACTCCAAGAGGGTGACTAGGACAGTGGCCTTATTCTGTGTCCTGACCCCTAGAGCCCACAGCGGCAGGAGTGGAATGGCCCCTCCTAAGCCAGTGGCACTCGATGGCACCAGATTCACCTTCTGGCGGCCTCTGTCAGCCATGCTCAGTTCTGATTAAAGATCATTAAACATGAAATTAGCCCGTTTGTGTTACGGGTCCCCGGGGTGGCCGGTGATTATGACGCGCAGATGGCCAAGAACCCAGGCGTCGGGCAGGCGGGTGAGGCCGGGATGCGTGGGGCTAGCACCATAGGCGCAGGCGGCCGGGAGGCAGGCGCGGGGGCTGGGCTTTGTTTTCTCCGCTCCTGTTGTGTAAACCCCCTTGCATTTCACAACAAATCACAGATAATTAATAAGTACATGCCCGTAATGAGCAGGCTTTTTAATAGAAGAAATTGGAAGATGCGGTGTCGAGTCATTATTTCACTCTGGCCCAGACTCGGCTCTATTTTCCCATCTTCCTCACTCCCCCCTCCCCCCTGCACTGCCTCACTCAGAGTCTCTGCAGACAGGCTGGCTCTGACCCCACCTCTCAGCCGGGCTGAAGTGCTAAGACCCTGGTGCTCGAGTAGAGGAGGGAATCCCCACCCAACCTAGAGCACCACATCCCCCTGGAGCCTTTGAGGACCCCGGAGGCAGTCTATCTGGAGTGGGGGCGGGCAAGCCCTGCCTGACTCCTGACAGCCCTCCCCCTGGCTGCTCTGGATGAGGGATGAGCAAGGGGGAGAGGGACCAAGCAAGGGGGAGAGGGACCGTTGCTGGCCTCAGGGCAGGCATCCTGGGTGCACCTCAGGTGACCTTGTGAGAAGCTGTGGGGGTCAAGGTATCTCTCTCCCACCAGGAGGAAGACATCCTGTACTATGACGCCAAGGCTGACGCTGAGCTGGTGAGTGCCCCACGTACACCGGGGAGGGAGAGCTGCCAGAGACCCACACCCTCCCTGGGCTAGTGGCCTCAGCCGTAAAATGTTAGGTCTCAGCCTCCTCCACATTCTGAGGTCATCCTGCAAAGTACTGGTGACACAAGCCCCATGCCCAGCCCCAGACAAGTAGTGAGGCACTTGGACTTCATACGGTGGGTCAGTCTAGGTGCCAGCATGGAGGGGGCTGGGTGCTATGGGAGTGGGGAAGAGGAAGCAATTAGGAAGGCTTCCTGGAGGTGTGCAGGCCGGGCCTGGCTGTGGCTGTGGCTGTAGCTGTAGCTGTAGGCCATCAGGTATGTTTCAGGTGGTGCAGGTACCTCCCCTGTGGTGAGCAGAGCAGCAGCTTCAGTGTGCTGAGCACCCCATGGTGGTCCCCCCTGTGCTCACCCGGAGCTCAGTCAGTCTTGCCCCAGCTGCAGAGGCAGCCCAGCCCGGTGCCTGTTCTCCAGACAAAGGACAGGACTCAGACTCTGCTGGGGTCACTGCTTCGGAAGTGGCGGCATTAGGGGTGACCAGAGGACCCAGATCTATGCTGCTCTTCTGCCTCTGTGTCACTGGCTAGCTTATGTCTGCCTGGGCGGCGCCATCACCAGAGGCATCACATCAAAGACATAGGACCATTGTGGTAGCAGGGGACCTACTGAGGAGGCAAGAGTGTCCAAGGGTGCAGAGCACTCAGAGTAGACAGTGTTTGGTGAACCTGTCAAGGCCCAAGTCCATCTGCCTGCTTCTGAGGCAAAAGCAGTTGAACCTATCTCCTCTGTAAACAGAGGTATCATAACAACTCACTCTCTGGGGTCCCATCTGCACTGGCTGGGACAGGGGCCTCCAAATCCAGTGTTCCTCTGCCAGACTTATTGGCCAGGGGCATTTCCTGGGGCGAGAAGGAGGGAGACAATGACACCAGGAGGTGGGCAGGCAGGGATCCCCGCAGAGGGTCCATGGTGCCAGGCTGGCCTGGGTAAGCCTTCAGGAGGGCAGGCGGGCAGGGGGCCCGAGAAGGAGGGGTGGGTGGGCTAAAGCAGGTGTGCTTCCCCCTTGGCTGAGCCTCCGTGGCTCCCAGAGAAGTTGCTAAAATTAAAGCTGGAATCTGAAATTCAAATGAAGAGCGAACCTTTAATTAGACCCTGAATCTAATTCCTTACCCCCCTCAGCAGCGGGCTGTAATTTTAGCAATCAGTGCATTAAATATAAACCAGGAGACTGCAGTTGCCCACCATACAAAACCCCTGGCATGGGGTAGCACTGAGGGGGCTTCTTAGCCTTTCTTGGGTACCCAGGCCCCTACAAGGATCCCCTGAACTCCCTGTGTCCAGGACTCCCAACCCCTGGCCCTAAATTACGGACTCCCTGCCCCTGGCCCCTCAAGGGAGGGAGAGTCTTCCTGGGTGGGGCTGGACTAAGGTCAGGCCAAAAGCTGGACCTGGCGTGGCCCTCCTATAAATATCAACATGCACATATTTGCCGAGTCCCCTGCTTGTTGTGTTGTTTTGTTTTTTTAATCTTTGCCAGAGGTACAGTTAGAGATCTTTCTAGACCATTTACTTTTAAATTACCAACCAGAAGGTGGGGGTGGGGGAAAGAGAAGGAAGGAAAAAGTTCGCCAGCTGATAGCTTATCAGAACGGAATCCAAATGTCACATTAGTTGGGAAAGTTGGGAGATTAAATTTTCCAGCGCCCTTCATCTGCTGCTGACATTTCGGGGGCTTTTTTCTCCCGCACCTCCCCCTCCTCCAAGCAGAACGTGAGTCGCTCACGCCTCAGAGGCGGCAGGCTCGGCAGCTGCCTGCCCTGGCTTTACCCAGCATCCAAAAGCTTCTGAGGGTCCTCTGAGGGTGTGCCGAGGTGGGCAGAGGGTGGCACACGTGGTGATGGATGAGGGGAGGGCAGCAGATGGTTTGGATTTTGCCGTACAAAATCCACCCTTGAAGAGATGCTGCAGACCCTTCCGAACCATGCCAACCCCCACACAGGCCAGCCTGCTGCACCACCCACCCCCACCCACCCATCCCCACCCCCGTCTAGGCAGTAATTCATTCTCCAGGCTGGAGGATGGACCCAGAGCCCTCCTGGGCTGGAGAGAGCACATCTGGGTGGTAGGGAGGCACGATCACCCTTTCCCTAGACAAGATACAGCAGGAGGCAGGAACACTGCGTGTGTGCCTAGGACCCAGTGAGCAGTCGGCAGAGCCACAAGGGGGTGGAAGTGAGCTAAGCCTGGCGTTGAGGGTGGTCACAGGGGTTGAGGGGCACTGAGGGGCCATGTGGATGGTCCATCTGCTTACACCAGGGCCAAGCCCCCCCCCACCCCAGCTCTACCCCTTCCCTGCTTTGATCTCTGTCCCTCCTTGCCTTCCCGTCTGGCTCTTTCCTGTCTTCCCCTTCACTCTCTGCCACCATCTTCCCTTCCCCCTTGCACACCTGCACCCGTGCCTGCCCCCACCCCCACTCGGCTGCAGCATCAACACTGTAGCCGCAGACCCATTCCTGCCAGCCTGTGTTGGTGGGCGGGGGTGCACGGCGCATGCCCAGCCTGCTCGGCCGAGAGATGCCATAATTGGCACCTGTCAGGCGACTGCAGCTCATTTTAGAAAGTCAACGGGGGCCTTTGCAGTCCTGCTGCTAGCGGGCACTGAGGACCCTCCCTCCGGAAGTTACCAGGTCTCAATGCTAGCCTCCACCCCAGCCCAGCGCTCCCCTCAAACTCAGCCCCTAGAATCATCAGCTGTAGCGGTGATGCCCCTCCCCTAGATGAGACAAGGGCCCTCTCCCCGGTGCCAAAGGAACTCCATGAAGGGGATGGGTGGGGCCCAGTGAGGGGTCTGGGTTCCAGGCCTCCTGGTACCAGTTGCTTAGGCCCCCCTGTGATTGCACAAGCCTGTCCTTATAAGCAAAGGGCTGCAGCCGGCTCTTTCTCAGTGGCTCTGAGACCTGTCTCCTTCACTGATCATTGGTTTTCAAGAATGTGGGGAAGGGTCAGTTTGGCGTTTGGAATTTGGGTTTAGCAAATGTAGGAATGGTGCATAAGGTGGGCAGGGGCAGGTGGGAGTCACAGGCCTCCTGGGTGAGGGGTCCATACCCCCTATCCATCTGTTCCTGTGTCTCTCCATCTCTCTCTGTTCCTGACTTCAGTAGTCTCTGATTCTGAGATGCTCCTAGTCACCTAGGCTCTGGCCCTCTCCTGCCTGCAGAGCTGTCCTACCCCACTCCCCATTTTCTAGCCCTGACACCACTGTGGGGGGTATGCCTTTCTGCAGGACGACCCTGAGAGTGAAGATGTGGAGAGGGGGTCCAAGGCCAGCACCCTAAGGCTGGACTTCGTTGAGGACTCAAACTTCAAGAACAAGGTCAACTACTCGTACACGGCCGTGCAGATCCCCACGGACATCTACAAAGGCTGTGAGTGTGCAGAGTGATCAGAAACAGCCCTCCCCCTCAGAGGACCAACCGGGAGAAGAAGGAGGGAAATGGTGGGGGAAAGGGAGAGAGGCAAACCATGAGAGACTCTTGAATGCTGACAAAAACTGAGGACTGATGGATGTGGGGGGGAGGAGGGATGGGCATGGAGGAGGGCACTTGTGGGGATGAGCACTGGGTGTTATGTGGAAACTAATTTGACAATAAACTATTTGTAAAAAAAAAAAAAAAAGAAACAGCCCTCCCCTACTACTATGGGGGTGAGGCCCACTGCCTGGGCACTGCCAGGTCCCAGGTGCTCAACCAGTGCCATCTACCCTCAGCCCCTTATACCCAAGGTCACACGTGCTCGCCCATACACAGGCATCAAATCATTCTCAGGCACGGCCTCACACTAACTCTCAGCAAACTGCAAAGCACTCAGACTCACCCGCCGTGCATGTGCAGTCTCCTGCCCATGAGTAGACACGTGCCCACATGAATGCTTGCATACAACTTGTTCCCCTACATGCTGGACCAAGTCCCCACTGGCCTCCAAAGCAGCTCCTCCCCACCAGCCCCCATTCCCTGGCCCCATGCAAGAATGGGTTGAGGAGCTACCACATCAAATGGATACAAGAGTTGGGGGAACAAGGAGCACTTCACTCACAGACAACATCCTGGTGTCTCCTTCCTTGTCCAGGGACAGGGCAGCTTTGCACAATGGGGAAACCAAGTCACTATGGCTGGAAGGATTTGAGTCAGACATGAGGAGGAACTTCCTAAAGATCTTGAGAGGTATAAGGGGAGGAGACCAAGAGTCAGGCACTAGAGAGAGAGAGCTCTAACAGCAGGCTTTAGGGCCCTGGGGTCTGTTGAGCATAATTCTCTGAGCACCTACAAGGCAGCCTCAGAATCCAAGGGTCCCACCGGGTGGAGGGTCTTGGAACACAGGTCCCAGAGCTTCTGGATAGTCTCCAGAATGCAAGGAATCCTCCAGGGCCCTCAGGGAGGCCCCCTTCCACCCTTAGGGTCAGTCAGCCCTTCTAGGCAGCCTCGGGGGGGTGGGGGTGAGGACAGATGCTACCCATACACACACACTCCTGTCCCTGCCACGGGCCGCCCGCAGGCCACCTGCCCGAGCCAGCCGAGGAGCACTATCACAGGCAGGCACACTAATTAAAATAGGAGTCATACCGCCCTCCCCAGTCACCCCTCGCTACCCACACAAATTACATTTTATATGTTTTTTATTTACTGTGTCACTTTTAATTAAATCTGTAATCGCCTGCCTGAGGGGGCATGGTCCCCGTTTCCCAACTCAGCATGATCTGAGAGTGTGTGCATGTGGGTGTGGGTGTGTGCACGTGGGGCTGAGTAGCAGGCCCTTTCCAGGCAGGGAGGCCAGAATGCTTACACAAGTGTGCCTCGGAGTGAATGCATGTGTGTGCATGTGGCCACGGAGACTTGCAGGGACAGCCCAGCTGAGGCAGGGGTCTACTCTTGGCTCTTGACCTGAGTCAGTGACACCCCTCTGGCAGCAGCTAGACAGGCTTCCAGGACAGTCTGCTCTAAGCCTCTCTTTGGGAAGATAGGGAAACTGAGGTCCAATGAAGGTTGGGACTTTCCAGGCAGCCTCTGCCGGGACAGGCAGTACTGTATGAAACATCTGAGAATCTGGTTTTATTTTTTTTGTTAAAGAGAAAAATAGAAATTGTTCGACTCACTAAGTTTCTAAATTAGGAACAGGACCATAACATACTGTTCAATAGGCACAGCCAATGCTAGAAATGTGTTTTGTTTTCACATTATGGTCAGTTAAGGGAAGCTACAAGGACAGGGAGAAGGGAGGGGGAGCAGAGGGAGAGGGACCAGGCAGCACACAAGATGGAGCAGAGGCCACACACTGGAGGGAGAGAACAGAGGGACCATGCCCTGGAATGTATCAGCGCCTCCTAGGCTGTGGGCGGAGCCTTGAGCATTTGTATCTTTTTTTTTTAAGTTTATATATTTATTTTGAGAGAAAGAGAGCGTGCACAAGTCAAGTCAGGGAGGGGCAAAGAAAGAGAATCGCAAGCAGGCTCTGCACAGACAGTGCAGAGTCCGACGCGGGCTCAAACTCACAAACCATGAGATCATGACCTGGGTGCTTAATCCACTAAGCTACCCAGGCAGCCAGTCCAAGTATCTTCTCTGAAGAGAAGAGAAGAGAAGAGAAGAGAAGAGAAGAGAAGAGAAGAGAAGAGAAGAGAAGAGAAGAGAAGAGAGAAGAGAAGAGAAGAGAAGAGAAGAGAAGAGAAGAGAAGAGAAGAGAAGAGAAGAGAAGAGAAGAGAAGAGAAGAGAAGAGAAGAGGAGAAGAGCCTTTGCAAGGCACTATTGGGTTCTCACTTGGGGTAGATTTTGATAAGGATCTCGAAACAAGTGGGATAATGGTGTAAGAAAGGAAGTGGAAGATGGGCGCCTGGGTGGCTCAGTCAGTTAAGCGTTCAGCTTCAGCTCAGGTCATGATCTCACGGTTTGTGGGTTTGAGCCCCGCGTTGGGCTTGGTGCTGACAGCTAGCGCAGAGCCTGGAGCCTGTTTCAGATTCTGTACCTCCCTCTCTCTCTCACCTTCCCCTGCTCGTGCTGTCTCTCTCTCAGAAATAAATGAAACATTAAAAAAAAAAAAAAAAAGAAGTGGAAGAAACTAGAGGAAAAATACAGCCCCTAGGGGAGGGCTTAGGTACAGAGGCCTGCCAATAGCAGGTGTCCAGCTCACACACATACATCGGCCAGATTTAGGGCCATCCTGAGTTGGGGGCAGGGATGCTAGATCCCGGCTGAGGGATCTAGAGGACTGAGCCCATTCATCTGAGAGAAGCCTTGGTCTATGAGTGGGCATGGGGGTGGATCTGGCCAAGGAATCATATGTGTGCAGCCACAGAGGTCAGGGGAAAGGGAGGGTGAAGGTAATTGGTCATGAGGGCGTGGTTGTGAGAGCGAAACCCATTGGTGTCCTCTTATGGGTGCAGAGTGCTGTACCTTTGTGCCCATGGTGGCAGCTGGGCTGCTGGGCAGGTAGGTTGAAGAGTGAGGGACTCACACACCTGGCTGGAAACACGGAGGTTCAACACAGATATACCTGTTGGGGAGTGCAGGCTGTATGTATGTATGTGTGTATGTGTGCAAACATGCATGCAAGTGTTGGAGCAAGATTGTGGCATAGCCCCTGCCCCTCCAAGAGCCCCCGCCCCCGCCCCTGCCTGCTCCTGGCCCCAGTTGATTAATCATGGAGCTGAGTGGCTTCCAGCTTATCAGGTACCTTAATAGCTGAATAATTCCAGCCCCATCATCGGGCCCTTAATTGCTTTCTTGTGGCTGCAGCCTGGAGTGCATGCTGAGTGGGTGAGCCCCCAAGGGACCAGCTGCAAGCTTCAGGCAGCATGCTGGATGGGCATCCCAATGCACAATTCGCTCCACCTGGGCAGCCCCTCTCCAGGGTCCACAGGCCACAGCTGCCCTTCCTGATCATGTGGGGCCTGGCTGAAGGGTAGGCTAAGCTGACTTGGGATGGAGTGAGGACCTGGAGGTCTTCCTGGAGGAGCTGGTGCAGCCCCAGCTGAGCCCTGGGGAATGGGAGCCTGGCTAGGCAGAGAGCAAGTGAGGCTTTCTAAATGGGGCACTTGTCGTGGTGAGGTTCCACAGGGGACTACCCAGGTGCTCTTCACCTCAGCGCCCCCATTGCCCCCACAGCTACTGTCATCCTTAATGAACTCAACTGGACAGAGGCCCTGGAGAACGTGTTTATGGAGAACCGCAGGCAGGACCCCACACTGCTGTGGCAGGTCTTCGGCAGCGCCACTGGAGTCACTCGCTACTATCCAGGTGAGTGTCAGTCCATCTCTCCTGTCCCCTCAGCACCCACCCTCCTCCGTCACCCAGCCCACTTATCCTGAGGTTTGTGGGATGGGTGGTCAACCCTGTGGGCTGTGAAGCAGCCAGTCCTGCAAAGCCTGTCTACCCTGGCCGGGCCCTTCCCTGCCAGACTCCCTCACCTCCTCTCCTCCCACAGCCACCCCATGGCGAGCCCCTAAGAAAATCGACCTGTACGATGTCCGAAGGAGACCCTGGTGAGTGAGCAAGGAGGAGCTGGGCAGGGACACCCCCCTCAGTTCCCCCACCTCTGCTGCCTGCTCCCCTCCCTCCCGATATCCAGGCCTCGGAGCAGGGCGCAGCCAGCTCTATCCAATTTTCATTTCACACATCGTTGCCACTGGAAAATGGATCCCATCACCCAGGCAGGCCTCCCAGCTGCCTCTGCCCCCCATCCACTGCCCAGCACTCCACCCCCTTGGAACTGAGGGGTTGGGCCAGTGGGGGTTCCCAAGAGCGAAAGTCAGTTGGCCAGCCCCTGAACTACCCATCTGAGCCCTGGGCACCTCTCCCTCCCTTCTGCCTCTCCTGCAGTACCCCATGACGTCCCCCTTCCCTGCCACCTGTTCATTCCTGCACACAGCTGGGACGCAGACCTTGGGGCCTCATCCTGAGCCAGAGGACATACGTCCTACGCCCTCTCTGGATCACCTGCTCACCCCTCCTTTGGCTCAGGGTCACTCATGTCATGGGCAAGGACTGTTTTTTTAACTGTGATATCCTCAGTGCCTAGAACCCTGTCTGGCCCATGCAGTGAATGCTCAGTAGAAACATGTTGAATCAATATGTGGGTAAAGGGAAAAAGGACCCCCAAGGTCCCGGGGAGGCTGGCCCTAATTGAGGCTTCTCCTGGGCAGGTATATCCAGGGGGCCTCGTCACCCAAGGACATGGTCATCATCGTGGATGTGTGAGTGAGCAATGCTGGCAGAGGGGAGGGGGGAGCAAGGGGTGAGAATCTGCTTCCTGGGAACATCCATTAGGGAATGGCAGGAGAATGCCTAAGGCCTACCTAGTGCCTGCATGACCTTCCCAGGAGCGGCAGTGTGAGTGGCCTGACCCTGAAGCTGATGAAGACGTCTGTCTGTGAGATGCTGGACACGCTCTCTGATGATGACTACGTGAATGTGGCCTCGGTGAGTGCCAGGGTGGTAGGTGGGTGAGGAATGGGTCATACACACCACCCCTGCACCGTGCAACAGCTGACTGCCCTGGCCAGCCTGAGGCCACTCACCACCCTCACTGTCCCTGCAGTTCAATGAAAAGGCACAGCCTGTGTCATGCTTCACACACCTGGTGCAGGCCAATGTGCGTAACAAGAAGGTGTTCAAGGAAGCTGTGCAGGGCATGGTGGCCAAGGGCACCACAGGCTACAAGGCCGGCTTTGAGTATGCCTTCGACCAGCTACAGAACGTGAGCCCCGTGGGTGGGTGAGCGGGTGGCTGGGGACAGGCAAAGGCCTGGGCTTGGTGACACCGGGGAAATCAAGACAAATGGCCTTGTTAGTGCCCAACAGGCAGCTCGGGCAGATAGCACCATCTGCTGCGGGGAGGAGGGCCTGAGGGCCAGGACTTCCGGGGGGGGGAGACCCACCCCTGGACCCGGGAGGGGCCGAGAGCTGCCTGACCCCAAACCTACTCCTGACCAGTCCAATATCACTCGTGCCAACTGCAATAAGATGATCATGATGTTCACGGATGGTGGTGAGGACCGCGTGCAGGATGTCTTTGAGAAGTACAATTGGCCCAACCGGACGGTGAGGCTCAGCTCAGGTGGGGGCCACCCTGACCTGGGCCTAATTCAGGGAAGGGCTGTTGTCTGGTGGTCACAGCAGTAACCCCAAGCCCCAAACAGGTGCGTGTGTTCACTTTCTCCGTGGGGCAACACAACTACGACGTCACACCCTTGCAGTGGATGGCCTGTGCCAACAAAGGTACAGCGTCCAGCATCACTGCCTCAGGGCCTGCCTGCCATGCCCTGCTTTCCATCTGGTTGGTTGTCCACCTGTCCATCCATTCCTCCAGCTTTCCAGCTGACTGTTTACCCACTATCCATCTTCGTGTGCATGTGACTGTCCATCTCTCTGGCCGTGTAACTTGTCCATATGACTGAGCATCTGTCTGCCCATCTGTCCATTGTCCATCTATCTCCTGTCTGATCTGCTCCTGTGTCTGTTTGCTGGTCGGTCTACCTCTCCATGCATTTGGGCCTGGCCCCTGGGTAGACTCTGAATGTCACTACCATCCTAGCAAGAGGGACCTCACCCTGCCTCTGCTTCCTTACACCCCTACGCTCACGGCCCTTTCCCTAGCATCGGTCCCATTGACAGGGCAGTGGAAGGGAGCACTAAAGGGATAGGAGTCTGGGGAGAGTGACACCAGAAAGAGAAGAGGCCTGAGGGACAAGCCCAAGGCTGCTGACACACCACAGGGTACAGAAGCCCCTGTGCCATGGATCCCACGTACCACCCAGACCCACCTCTACCTCCCCTTCCCTCACAGGTTACTATTTCGAGATCCCTTCCATTGGAGCCATCCGCATTAACACACAGGTGAGACCACAGGCACCTCCCCCCCTCCTCCCAGCGCCTTGCCTCCTGGGCAATGTGTGAACAGTGGGCTCCTGTGGTGTGAGAGCGCCCCCTGGTGACTTGCTGATATGCCGGGAGGCAGAACAGAGAAGGTGCAGTGGGCGTATGAACTTGTGACCCCTGCCGCCTTTTCCCCAGGAGTATCTGGACGTATTGGGCAGGCCCATGGTACTGGCGGGCAAGGAGGCCAAGCAGGTGCAGTGGACCAACGTGTATGAGGATGCATTGGTAAGGCCTTTGGGACCTCCCCCACAGATGTGTCCACAAGGTCAAGTTCCTTAAGGGCCCCCATATGGGAGTAAACCAAACAAGAAAAAAAGGGGCCTGTGCCTGAGCCCATCCTCTGATCACTCAGGGTAGGGCATGGCTGGCCACAGGAGACTAACTCATCCTCTCTTCCTCTCACCTCAGGGACTGGGGTTGGTGGTGACAGGGACCCTCCCTGTTTTCAACCTGACACAAGATGGCCCTGGGGAAAAGAAGGTAAGTTTCCCCACTAAGGAACAGCTAGGCATACACTAGGAGGCCTGGGATGGAGGAGGGACAGACAGGCCTTCAGACTGGATGGGGCAACTATTTGTGAATAGCTTGAGGCCTTGGGAGTGAGGTTTGGACAGTGGGGCTTTCCTGTGGACTTGAACCCATTTCAGACCCCCCCATGCCTCTGCTCCCAGAACCAGCTGATCCTGGGTGTGATGGGCATCGATGTGGCTCTGAATGACATCAAGAGGCTGACTCCAAACTACACGGTAAATATCCATCTGCCCATCCACCCTGCTCTGGGTCCCACAGGGACACAAGCCAGGCTCAGCAGAGGAGTCTAATGGGGATTACAGCGCCTCCAGGGACACCTCTGAATTCAGGCAGTCAGGAGAGGCTTCCAGAGCTGGGCCTAGAGCTGGAGTCGGCAAACTTCTGTGAAGGGCCAGACTATGAATATTATAGGCTCTGCCAGCGTAAATACTTATCCTCAGTTCTGCTGAGCGGCCACAAACAAAACAAATAAATAGGCATGGCTGTGTTTGAATACAGTTTTGTTTGTGGATCCTGAAATTTAAATTTCACGTAATTTTCACATGTCATGAAATAAAATTCCCTTTTCAGTCTTTTTCAACCACTTAAAAATGTAAAAAAAAAACATTCTTAGCCATATGGTAACAGGTGGCAGGCCAGGCATAGCCCATGGGCCATAGTTTGCTGACCCTTGGACTGTCAAATAGACAAGAGGCGTACCTTGGAGTTACAGGAAACTCTCTGAGCAAAGGACTAAAGGTGAACCAAAATCATAAAGCAGGGAGGAGCAAGGTCAGTGTGACTGGCCCAGCACCCGCAGTGAAGGCAGTTTCAGTCTTGGTTGTGGAAGAGGTAGGGGTAGGATGTGTGTGACAGCATGTCCACCCCTGAGCCACATGAAGGCCCCATGTCATTGGCCTCCATGTGCAGTGAGAAAACGGTCTAGAGAGCTAAGGGTGAGTCCAGGGTCCCATTCACTCCTCCATCACTTCCACCGGGAAAGGGTATCCAGGGATTCCAAGGGCACCCTCTTTCCTATGCACTCTACTGAGATGGGGACCAGGAGGAGGCACTAGTGGGGAGGGGAGGAGAGGATGACAGCAGCCTTGAGGGGCCAGCGGAGGCAGAGCAATCCAGCTGACTGACAGCTCCATGACAATTAGGGATAGTTGGGGCAGAAGGCCAAATCACCTTGCGGTCCCATGTTGCCAGTCAGCCTCAGCAAGGGCTGGTGCATGCGAGATACCAGCCTGCTAGACTTGAACTTGAGAAACAGGCTCGAGGTCACATGGCATGTGGGGGCCCCTGGCCCAGGCAAGCAAACCCTCAGTGGTATGGAAAGCAGGCTAAGGTAGAGCTCCAGAGTCTGGGGAATCCCTACCCAGCCCTCCAGGCCCTGAGCTCCCAATCTATGCCCCCAGCTTGGAGCTAACGGCTATGTGTTTGCCATTGACCTGAACGGCTACGTGTTGCTGCACCCCAACCTCAAGCCCCAGGTGAGCTGGGGGGTGGGCAGGAGGAAGGTAAACTCTACAGGATGGGGATCCCTAACTTCCTGCCCTGCCTCCCACAGACCACCAACTTCCGGGAGCCTGTGACTTTGGACTTCCTGGATGCTGAGCTGGAGGATGAGAACAAGGAGGAGGTAAGGAAAAGGAGAGGAGTAGGGATGGGAGCATCCAGAGCAGCAGAGAGTAGAGACCTCACCCCTCACATCTCTGGCCCTTCCAGATCCGTCGGAGCATGATCGATGGCAATAAGGGCCACAAGCAGATCAGAACGCTGGTCAAGTCCCTGGATGAGGTGAGAAGATGGTATAGGGGGACAGAGTCAGGGTGGGCATCGTCCTATTCTCCACCCCACCCCTGCGTACTGGCTCAAGTACTTGACGCAGCCTCTTCTCCCAGAGGTACGTAGACGAGGTGATGCGGAACTATACGTGGGTGCCTATAAGGAGCACCAACTACAGGTGAGTGGGGCAGGACTGGGTAGGCAGGGAGGGGTGAGGGGGAGCCCCAGAGCCCAGAGTCTGAGCCCTCTCCTTGCCCAGTCTGCGGGTTCTCAACAACTGCAGCCATGATCCCAGTGGGGCACCAGGAGCCAGGGCTGCTCACTACTCACCCCAGGACTCTCAGTGCACCAAGGAACCCCTTTTGCTGGCCCTTTAGGAACACTGGACAGAGACAAGACAGTGCATCTGACGTCTCCCCATGCCACACCACCCTCTCATGTCACCCCTGCCTGGATTGTATCCTGGGTATCTGCACCCAGGATGTCACCCTCAGTACATCCCCAGGCCTGCTCTCAATAGGCACCACAGCCTCGGAGCAGGTACCCTTGCAGGTCAGGCCCAGGCAGTGCAGGCTGTCTTCTTGTGCCCCACAGAGCTGGTCTCATTCACCCTCCAATCCCAGCTCATGACTGTTCCTCACGGTATTAGCACCAACCCTGCTTTTTGATGGCTTTCACATGGCCTAAGTCTCGGGACTGAGGGACCCTCCTCCCATGGCTGTGCACCCAACAGCCTAGCTCACTGACAGTGTTCTGTCCCTGTTGAGTTTGCCACTGGCCAGATAGAGGAGGCTGGCTGGGGATATGGTGTGTTGGGAGGAGACTGCTGGTTGGGGGGGGGGGGCGGGGAGGGCATGGAGTTGCTTTGGGACTGGGAGTTCTGAGGCCTCCAAAAGAGTTTGGGGAATGAACCTCTCACAGCTAACAGGGAAAGGTGGCCCTGGTGGTCAGGAGAGGGGACTTCACAGCCTGGGCCACTCTGCCCAGCTCCAAGGTGGGAGCTGAATGCCAGTGTGGCCCACCTCTCCCCAGCAGTGACATATGCCCCTCCTCTCCCCTCCTCCCCAGCCTAGGGCTTGTGCTCCCACCCTACAGCACCTTCTACCTCCAAGCCAACCTCAGCGACCAGATCCTGCAGGTCAAGTGTAAGTGGCCCGGCCCCTGCCTGTGCCCTGCACCCCTGCCTCAGCCCCGCACCCTGGCCGCCGGCCCCAGGCAGCATAGCCAGCCACTGGCGGCAAGGCAGCCACTCCTGCCCAGTCTGCCCACCCCCAGGCGCCCGCAGGCTGGGGCACCAGCCATCGGAAAGTCTGTGGAAATCTGCATGCCTGCCTTTTCTCAAATTTGGTTCCAGACCATTCTCTCATGATTTCCGTTGAGGTTTTTGGTTTTGGTTTCTCCTACTGCGTGTCTTCCCTCCTTAGCTTGCCTCCCCCGCACACCTCTGGGGGCTGCATTCTTGGAAGACACCCCTTCCTCTCAACTCTCCTCCCCCCTGTGCCCTGCAGCTCTCTCCCCCTGTGGTGTCACCCCCCAGGGTCTCTCTCTCCCCCTCCTCTGACCCCCTCATTCATCCTCTCCCATTTCCCTCCCCCCTCATCCACCCCTCTCACCTTCCTCCAACTCCCACTGCCTTACTCTCTGCCCTTCCTTTTCTCTTGCCGCCTTCTCTCCGCCCCCTTCCTTCCCTCTCCTTCCCTCCTTCTCTTTCCCTTCCCTGCACCCTCACCTTCCCTGTCTCCCCACTTCCCTTTTCCTTCTGCTCCTTCCCTCCCTCTCCTGCCCCAGCACCTTACTTTCTCTCTCTTCCTCCCTCCTTCCCTCCCTGTTCTCCCCCACTTCATCCCTGATCTCCTACCCTCCCTGCCTCTTCCTCTCCCTCATTCTCCCCCTCTCTTCCTCTCTAGACCTCTCAACTTCCTTCCCTCCCTGGCCCACTCCTCTGCCTGTGGCTCATTCCTGCATGTCCTGCTCACCCTGGGCCTCCCCCAAGAGGCCTCTGGAGCCTGTGGCCCTGCCTGCCCACCGCCCGAGGTCACTGGGAGGGAGGCTGGGGCTCCAGCCCCACCAGGCACCCCCCACCTGCCTGGCCGACTGGGGCTCATCTCCTTTGAGTTTTCTCGCTCTCTCTTTCTCTCTCATGTCGTTTTTTTGCAAGAAGTTTCCTTTCGGTATGATGATGAGACACAATATTTTCATTCAAACAGCCATTGAATAAAATATTGTTTGTGCCCCTCCCCTTCCCCTCCCCCTTTTCGTTTGTTTTTGTGTTTGTGTTGTTTTTGTTTTCCTCGCTTTCTCTCTTGGTGGACTGTCCCAGTGCCAATCAGCAAACTGAAGGGCAAGTATATTCAGAACCAGTGCACCCTCCTCTCCCCACCCTACCCACCCTCACACCCCTGCTTGCCCCCCTCCCTGCCCAGGACCAGCCAAACCCCTGCTCTCCAGGGCTCCCTCCCAGCATCCCCTTGGCTCCTCCAGTTCTTGCCTTTTCCCTCATCCCTAAACCCTATTACAGCCAGGAGCCCTTCCCCTGGCCCTGCCTGCAGGGTGGTCTCCGGCGTGTTCTGAGAACTCAGGCCCCCTCCTCATCCTCCTCTCCCCCTCTGGGCAGGCCCCTGCCCACCCCCGCCTTCTCTGTCCCTCCAAGACAACTCAACAGTGGGGACAGGGCTGGATGCCTCTCCACCACCTCCCACCCAGCAGGGCAGGGGGCCTGATAGGCAGGGCTAGACCAGTCTTCAGTGGGGCTTATGTGAGGCTTATGGGAAAGGAAAGTGCCATCCACATGAGGCTTCCTCTGGGATAGTTTTTCCTCCTGTGATCTCTGGCAGTTGGTCCAGAAGCTGGCAGCCCTCCAAGGGGTGACAGAAGGCTCTGGAAGCCCTACACCCTGATTCTGGGATGGGCAGGATAGGGCAGCAGCCATGCCACTGGGAGGGCCAGACAGATCCAGCCATTCTGGGCACCGGCCTAGGTGCTGCAGTCCCTGTCCCCTGCTGCTCCCCCTGCCCCCGGAGACTTTGCTAAGGCCCACTGGCCCAGCCCAACCCTGGTACTTGCTGCCCCTGGGGCAGAGGGTCAGGTATGGAGAAGGTATTCCCCTGGGAAATAAAAGCAGACTCAGGAACAGTGAGCCTAGCCAGGAATGGAAGGAAATATGTCTGGACCCCAAGGGCCAGCAAAAGAGCTTGGAGAAAATCATTCTGGGCATGAACAAAGGTTCTGGCACTTAGGGTTACCCAAGCCAGACATTCCCGAAAAAGGTAGGCAGTGAACCCACAAACTCTGGTGGAGAACAAGGAGAGTAAGAGAGAACAGCATATGAGGGTCTCTGCCACTAGTGCACAGACGCCCCTGCCTGGACAGATAGGCATGGAGAGCCACAAGAGGAGGTCCTGTCCCCAGTCCCCATGGCCTGGAAGCCAGGGCTCCCCAAGAAGCCCTAGGGACCCAGTCCCGCCTAGTCCAGCAAAGGGGATACAGCTGGCCCCGCTGGCCAGGGTGGGGGTGGGGGACGGGCCCTACCCCCACTGGTTTGAGTTGTCTTTTCTCCCCTTTCCACATCCATCCCAGTGACCCCAGAAATGCAGGGCCCTGATAACAATGACAATTATAGCCTAGTCTCCCTTCCTGCTCCCTACCTCCTTTTTCTTTCTCCTCCTTCCCCTCCCCCGCACCCATTCCCTGTCGGCTTGTGTCCAAACCCTGCCTCACAGTCCCATCAGAAAGCAACAGTCCAACCAGTGACTGCCCAGTCCCTGCAGGCACCCCAATCCCACTTCCCAGAATCTTGCAGTGCATTGTGGGAGTATCTGGGAACAGAGAAGACCCCCTCTTCTGCAAAAATAAGCCTTGGATGACAGAGAGGTCAGAACCTTGGTGAAGACAGGATTGGAAGGTGGGCTGCCCCAAGTGCAAAAGGCCACAGGGCAGTGGCGTGCCTCCAAGATGCAGACCAGCCAGGTGGCTGATCCAGCTGGGCAGGGAGAGGCCACGGAAAGCCCAGATTCACTCACAGACCCACACTGAGACCCTTGCACACACACACACACATGCAAGCACGCATGCTCTCCCGTGTACATACGTGCTAACTCTCACACACATGCACAGGCCCAATTGATAGGTCCCTAAGAGCACCCCACACCTTCTCTGGAGCGCCAGCATTCCTTTTTGGCTGCTATGAACCCAGACAGGTCCTAGGAAGGGTCAACACCCACCCTTCTTCCCCACCTGGCCTCATGCTCCCAGCCCAAAAGGGCAGGTGTACAGGTTCATGCAGCATCCCTGTGTCGTCCTGGTCCCACACCTTCCTCCCACAGTGTCGCAACATTCCCAGGCATGAGTCTCCCCTCACCCAGCCCCCCAGCCCAGGAAAGACCGCTGGACCCCCACAATGCACTGCAGCCCAGCCCCAGCTGCCCACACCGTCTCTGGTTGGACTGTCTGTGCCCGTGAGAAACTCCCTCGGTTTGGCCATGTTGATGCCTGACACAGAACAAAAGCAAGACCTACCAAAATGCAAACAGCTGCAGCAAAGAAAGAGAGATAAAAATCCGCAGCCAAAAGCCAATTCCCTTCCTCAAAGTCTCTTTGGAGGCAAAGGAAGCTCAGCATGCGGTTTTTTCCATTATGGATGTGATAAGAGCGAGACCGGCGCCTCCCCCAGACCATGCATATATATAGCAGTGTGTGTATATATATGTGTGTGTGTGTGTCCGTGTATATGTGCTATACAGCCGTATGGAAGCATATACAGCCACGCCACGGGACTCACTGCCGACAGAGGACCAAGCCTGGGCAACATATTGGCTATAACTGCCCTCCTCCTGCCATGCTGTAGTCTCCACAGGCCCCCCACCCCTCCCCGCCCGCCCCTTCTATCTGCCCGCCCCTTCTCTCTGGCTCGAACTTGAACGCGGAAGTGGCGGGTTCCCTCTTTGCTGGTGTCTCCCCCTCCCTCAAGCCACCCTCTGCCCTGTCCCTCCAGCCCCGTAAGCTCTGAGCCCCCTGGCCTCCTGCCTCCCCAGCCCCCGCCGGATAACCCCCCATTTCTGTTGCAGATTTTGAGTTCCTGCTCCCCAGCAGCTTTGAGTCTGAAGGACATGTTTTCATTGCTCCCAGGTAGCTTGCGTGTGGCCTTGCTGAGGTGTCCTCCCCAACCCCAACTGTCCTGGCCCCGCCTCCTGCACTGCTGCCTGGAGCTCTGTGTGTGTGTGTCCTGTGCAGTGTCGCCCCCCCACCCCCACCCCCTGCATAGCCCCGTATGTGCGGCCATGTGCATACCTGGGCCATGCAGCCGCACCAGGCAGCAGTGGCCAGCCACCCACAGTTCCAGTCCCCACCAGGCCTGGGGCAGGAGGGCTCTGGACTCTGCTGAGATTCCCTTCCCTCCCAGGCCACCAGGAAGGAGCCCTTTCTGCCCTGGGCAAGCTGTCCACAACACACTCCTCACTGGGCACCTGCTGCTCTGGTTTGTGGCACCCTCCCCAAGCCCCACCCTGCACCCCCTCCTTGTCCTGTGTCAGTCAGTGTTTGTGTGGGTCTGGGGATGAGCCAGCCAGAGCCCCTGTCGGCAGTGCTGAGTTTGGGTGTGATGGCTCACAGAGGACTGGGGGAGGTAGAGGGTACAAGAGCTTTGAAGAAGTTCTCTAGCAAGTGATGGGTCAGGGCCCAGTGCAGGTCCAGGCTTGGACCATCCCTGAAGTGCACATTCAGCATGCACACACACGTCCTTGTGTACACACGTTCTGCCTGTTGGCCCAAAGTGAGGAGGCCAGCAGCGCACCCCCCCACACACACCATGATGAAGCCCTCCCCTGTGGCCTGGCTTTGGATGAGGGTCGGTGGGTGCAGCTGACAGAGACCCATGGGCACTCTCAGGCACCACACGGGGGCTCTGGACATTCCTGACCTCCATGTGTGTGCACGTGTGTGCATGCACCCACAAATTTCTCTGACTCTCTGTAGATGTGTTTGTATCTGTAATTGTGTATGTTTGTAAGAGTCTGAGTGTAAATGTGGAGTGGGCTGTGTGCACTAGTGACTGTGGAAATGAGTGACAAGGCCTGTGTGGCACACATGACCCCCGAGAGAGGGGACTGTGTTTTTGTCACTTCTGTATCTTTGGCGTGGGAGAGCTCAATAAATACATGTTGGGTGAGTGAATGAACTAATCCACAAATATAAAGGTACATACTGTTGGGGGACACTGGGGGGCAGTTGTGTCTGAAGCACAACTGTGTGGGCATCACTCTTGATGTGTCAGGTGTGCCCCCCACCACAGAAGTACAGGTTGTGCACTGTACAAAGGCCATAGGGGCCAGAGAGCAAGTGGGGGCTGCAACCCAGTCCCAGGTGCCCTTACCAAACTGTGCACCCTAGCACAGCCTAGGGAAGCAGTGCATTTTAAAAATTCCCACAAACCTGCTGCATTCTGCCCAGCAGGAAGGCCTCTAGTGGCAACTGTGTGAATGAGGGATTGGACAGGAGAGAAAGCTCCATCTACCAGGGTGGAAGGACCGCTCACCACAACTTCCTGGGGGACAGAGCCCCAGGCAGGCCTCCCGTGCCCCAAAACTCCCATGTTATGTTCTCTGGACCCAGAGCCTGAGCCCAGTGAGGGCCTTGAGGAGGCAAGGGATTTGAACTGTCCACATCTAGGGGAAGAGCATTCCGGGCAGAAGGAGCAGCCAGTCTGAGGATCCACGTGTTCCCACTGACTTCTGTGACATGATGGAAAAAACTGAGGCTTGGGTTGCTTAAGTGAGTCGTCCAAAGGTGCAAAGCTAGGAAGCAACAGGTTGAGGTCTTACATTCACGCTGACTAAGCCAGCATGGTACTTCGCCCACCTTGTTCCCACGGGAACGCATACAGGTGCCAGGCCAGCCACAAGGCATCTCCTGGGGCCTCCCAGGTGTGCCATTAGGGTCCAGCTACACAAAAGATGTGGGAGGCTCTGCAGGGATATGCCCTGGAGGGAGAACATGCCAGGCTGGAGAAAGCAGACCTGCACTCTTTGTCAGCTCTGCCCCTATTCAGAGGTGGCAGTCTGCGGGTCACGTAGTGGCTGCAGCTTGTAAGAATACACACCCCCTGCCGAAGGCTCAGGCTTCTCAGTCAATTGCCAGGCAGGCCTGTTGGGAAACCTCAACCCTACTGCTCTGTCCAGCCCCCCAAGCCCACTCTTCTTGCCCCTCCCCACCCCCAGAGAGTATTGCAAGGACCTGAATGCCTCAGACAACAACACCGACTTCCTGAAAAACTTCATTGAGCTCATGGAGAAAGTGACTCCAGACTCCAAGCAGTGTGAGTGCCTAGTGGGGCAGCCGGGTCTGGGCAGTGCCCAGGCTACAAGGGGGCAGCCCAAAGAACCTAGAGACCGGGCAGGTGTGATGCAGACCCAAGCCCAGGGCAGGGCCTGGGCCGGGTAGTTGTGGGGGGAAGACTGGGCAGGGAGCCACAAGAAGACGTCCCCTCCACCCCTAACTTCCCATTCTAGGCAACAACTTCCTTCTGCACAACCTGATCTTGGACACAGGTATCACACAGCAGCTGGTGGAGCGTGTGTGGCGGGACCAGGATCTCAACACGTAGGCACCACCCCACCTGTGGGGGCAGGAGGTTGGGATGGGCCCAGAGGCCCTGGCCCCACCCTGCAGAAGGCAGGCCTGTGACTCACCTCCCTGCTGCCCCCCCAGGTACAGTCTTCTGGCCGTGTTCGCTGCCACCGATGGTGGCATCACTCGTGTATTCCCCAACAAGTAAGTGACCTACCCTGCCACCCAACAGCCTGCCCCTGCCTGGGACCCTGCCTCTGTCCTGCTGTCCATAGACCTTCTTGCACCTGACTGAGACACTGTCCCCCACACACCACGCCTTCTACCAATCTCTGTCTTTCTCGGATAACCAGGGCAGCGGAGGACTGGACGGAGAATCCGGAGCCCTTCAATGCTAGCTTCTACCGCCGTAGCCTGGACAACCATGGCTATGTCTTCAAGCCCCCACACCAGGATGGTGAGTGTCCTCCAAGGTGTCCAGCAGCAGATGAGAAGTTGAGGCTTCCCTGTCTGCTCACCCAGGGCTAGGCTTTGCTCTCTGAGGCCCCTCTCAAACATGACACTGGCTGAGACTGGGGCAGATGAGGAGAGAGAGCTAGGCTGTGCCAAACACTACACTGAGTACTGGGTACTTGGCTTGGGCCCCTGGGTCCACAGGCCCAGCACAGAGTGGTCAGTGTGACTACCAGCCCCTGCACCTGACCATCCCACCCCACCTCCAGCCCTGTTAAGGCCACTGGAGCTGGAGAATGACACAGTGGGCATCCTCGTCAGCACAGCTGTGGAGCTCAGCCTGGGTGGACGCACACTGAGGCCAGCAGGTGAATGCCTGGGGTGGAGGTGGGGAGACAATGGGCAGGGTGGTGCCCAGAAAGGCAGACATCTATGGCCCCTTGCTCTCCTCTACAGTGGTAGGTGTTAAGCTGGACCTAGAGGCCTGGGCTGAGAAGTTCAAGGTGCTAGCCAGCAACCGTACCCACCAGGACCAGCCTCAGAAGGTACTTGGGCAGGATTGGGGGCAGTAAGCCCAGCAGAACCCATTCTGGAGTCTCCCAGGAACCCTTACCACTCACTCAGAGTGGTTCCTGTGCCTATGGAGGGGGCAGTTACAGGTGGCCTGGGGATCCAGATGTACAAAGGGTGACGGGAGGGGGAAGACTGGCAGGCACCTTATGGTCCTTGCTCTCTGCCCAGCAGTGTGGTCCCAGCAGCCACTGTGAGATGGACTGCGAGGTTAACAATGAGGTGTGTGTGCCCCAAACCCTAGCTTACCCTGATCCCAGATTTCTTAATCCCAACTGCAACTTCTAGCCCATTGTTTGGCCTGGGGGGGGGGGGGGTCTCAACATACCACCCTGACTTTACAGCTTTATCAGAACTGGGGGAGTGGTGCCCCTTCCACCCAACCACCCTACTGCCAGGGTCTGGGGAAGAAGGTCTGGGCCTGACCCCTCTCCATCTTCCTCCCCCTTCCCCACCTCTCAGGACCTGCTCTGTGTCCTCATTGATGATGGGGGATTCCTGGTGCTGTCAAACCAGAATCATCAGTGGGACCAGGTGAGGGTCAGGGAGAGGGTAGAAGGAGGGGGCTGGGATTTGAGCTTTCTGGGGATGTGCCACTGCCACCCCTGTGACTACCTCTCCCTCCTGGCATTCCCAGGTGGGCAGGTTCTTCAGTGAGGTGGATGCCAACCTGATGCTGGCACTCTACAATAACTCCTTCTACACCCGCAAAGAGTCCTACGACTACCAGGCAGCCTGCGCCCCCCAACCCCCAGGCAACCTGGGTGCTGCACCTCGGGGAGTCTTTGTGGTGAGCCCAGTGATGCCTGGCCTGGAGATGGGGGAGGGGGCGCTGGGACACCTTCCCAGAGATGACCCTCCACCTCTGATGAGAAAGCTGGAGGTGACCCGGGTTCAGGGACAGCAGTAGCAGCCCATGCCCCTCTCCATTGCAGCCCACCATCGCAGACTTCCTTAACCTGGCCTGGTGGACCTCGGCTGCAGCCTGGTGAGTCCGTGGGGGAAGGGAGCTGAGCAAGGGTGCTCCCTTCCCAGAAGGGCTCAAGAGGAGTGGTGGGGCTGGGCACTTAGTGACCCCTGCCCTGCAGGTCCTTGTTCCAGCAGCTTCTCTACGGCCTCATCTATCACAGCTGGTTCCAGGCAGGTAGGTGGGGCTTTAGAGGCCCCTCCTCGAACCCCCCTCCCCAGTCTAAGCCCAGACCCATCCCAAAGGGAGGTCGGGGCTTAAGGCTGATTGAGGCTGAGACCCAAGACCTTGCTAGGGTGAATGGGTGGGGCTGAGGCGCTCTGGGCCCTCGCAGACCCCGCGGAGGCTGAGGGGAACCCCGAGGCGCGCGAGAGCAGCTGCGTCATGAAACAGACCCAGTACTACTTCGGGTCGGTGAACGCCTCCTACAACGCCATCATCGACTGCGGAAACTGCTCCAGGTGACCCCAGGGACGGGGACCGGAGGGCTGGCTAGGACTCAGCGGGGCCCATGGGCGGGGCCTGCCGGGTGGGTGCGGCCCGGGGCGGGGCCGGGGCTGCCACGGAGAGGGGCGAGGCGAGTCTCAACACCCCGCCTTTCCGTACTGCCTCCAGGCTGTTCCACGCGCAAAGACTGACCAACACCAACCTTCTCTTCGTGGTGGCCGAAAAGCCGCTGTGCAGCCAGTGTGAGGCTGGCCGGCTGCTGCAGAAGGAGACACACTGTATCCTGCCCCAGCCGCTCCCCGCCGCCCGCGCCCTCTCCTGCCCCGCGTGCCCCCTCCGTGCCCTGCTGCCTCCTTGACTCCCCCACCCATGCCCAGCGGACGGCCCGGAGCAGTGTGAACTGGTACAGAGACCGCGATACCGGAGAGGCCCACATATCTGCTTTGACTACAACGCGACGGTGAGGAGGGGGCAGCGCACTTGGCATCCCGCTCCCCTCCCCTCCCCGGGCCGCCCGGCCGACCTGCACCTTGCCTCTTCCCGCAGGAAGATACCTCAGACTGTGGCCGCGGAGCTTCCTTCCCGCCGTCGCTGGGCGTCCTGGTCTCCCTGCAGCTGCTGCTCCTCCTGGGCCTGCCTCCCCGGCCGCAGCCCCAAGTCCACGCCCACGCCTCGCGCCGCGTCTGAGCGCCCCCTCCTGCCCCTCTCCAGGCCTCCCCGCCTCTCCTATGCCCCATACACCCCGCCTTAGAGCCTTGCCTCCTCCCTCACCAAAGGACCTGAGCGGCCAGGCCCAAAAGTCTGAGCCTTGGAGTGGGGGGGGCGGGGGGGGGGGTGAGGGGTCCCAAAGGAGGGTGCCGCAGGTCTTTGGCTCCCAAGCCACATCTCGCCGCTGAACCGTCAAGTGACCCCAGACCCTTATCCCCACCAGATTCACCCACCCCTGAGGGCTGGGACAGGGAAGCCACAGTATTGGTGCCAAACTAGGCCTCCACTGCCCACTCTGCCCCAAGGCTCCCTTTGTGTGGGAGACCTACGCCCTGCCCCAGCTGGACTTCTCTAACCTCTAACCTGGCCCTTATGTCCCACCCAGGACCAAATCTGGATTCCCTGGAATAATGAAATTGAGATAGGCAGTTTGAGGCTTGTGCATCCCAGCTTAAGTCCTGGCAGGAGAGAGGTCCTGAGGCAGCCCCTCAATGGGCTCCTGCCCCTTTCAGGCTTACAGTCATCTCCCACCTTCTTCCAGCCCTGCAGGTGAGAGGCCAGTGACAGTGATACTGGCTCAGACACAACCCCATACACACCTGGAGCCCTGAGGGCAGAAACTGGACTCACATTAGACTTACCTAGGAGGATGAACACATGAACACACACACACACACACACACACACACACACACCATGAGGTGGGGTGGGGGTGAGGGCTCACAAAGCCTTACACAGGGCAGGGGGTTGGTGGGAGGTTTGGCACACGCACACTTCATCTGCTCACCGCCCACCTCTAGTCTGACCTGCAGCCCAGCTGGTTCTCTGTCTCTAAAGCTGAATGTCAAACAGTGCCAAAAGCTGGGGCAGGGTGTTCACCTCTGTCCCACCCTAGCCGCCAGTGTCCCGGAAATGTCCCTCACCCCACCAGGTGCTCATTATAACCATTTCGCACTAGTGTCAGGCCCCCAGTGGGACCACACATGCCACTGCCTGCACCTCTTGGCAGAGGGATCTTCACCAGACATTGCCCTTTGCGTTAGCCAGAGTGACCTGATCACTCCTGGCTGGGCTCTCCCACCCCCAATCTGGCCCTTACACACTCAGGCCTGTGCCCCACTCCCTGTTTCTTCACATTCACACAATTCAGGGGGGGGCAAACTGCCCTCCCCTGCTGAACACACGTGCACACATACACACATGCACACACTGTGCACACACAGAGGCTGGGCCCAGGCACATGTCTTCACACCATTCATTCTGATCATTTCCCCCATAGGCATCCCAGCCTGGGGGCAAGTGGGGGACGGAGAGCAGGGGGGTGTGGCCAAGAGGCTCAGATGGACTGGGAGAAGGGGGGAGGGTGATGCATTAATTAATGGCTCCGTTAATTAATGTCGCCTGTTGCTTTCTCAGTGTGTGTATGGTCCATGCCCGTTGCTGGTGCCAGGGTGGGCACCCATGCTGTACACCCAGCCTAGATGCCAGCCATGTCTTGCGGGGGCGTGTGTGTAACTGTAGTGTAGTCAGGTGCTCAATGGAGAATATAAAAATAAAGAATCAAACATATACAGAAAAATAAATATATATTTTAAGTTTAAAAAACAGGAAAACAGACAAACAATCCCCATCAGGTAGTTGTCCAACCCCCAGCTGGGTCTAATCCCTCTCATCACCCACCCGACCTGGCTGCCCCCTGACCTCGGGCTCGGGGGATCTTTGGGGGAATGGGGGGCCATTTCCTTTTCTCTGCCCTTTTTTTTGGTTGTTGTTCTATTTTGTACAGACAAGTCAGAAAAACAACAGTGACAAAAAAGTCAAGAAACTTTGTAAAATATCGTGTGTGTGATTCCTTGTAAAATATTTTCAAATGGTTTATTACAGAAGATCAGTTATTAAATAATGTTCATATTTTCACTTCAAATGGTTCCCATGCACTGTGTCTGCCTCAGGGTGGGGACCGGGTAGCTTGAAGACAGGTGGCCATGACCTCAAAGTCCCGCCTAACACTCAACTGGGAATGAAGGCCATTGCAACCCAGGTACCCAGTGGGTGTAGGGCATGATGCTTCCCGGGCTTCCTAAGTACCAGATCCTTGACATCCTTCATCTCATATAATTTCAAAAGCCTCTAAGAAAAGCTGTTCTTAAAGGCCAGGATGACAGAAGAAAGAAGACAGATGAAATTTGAGTTTAGGCAGGCATCTAACCATCAGGTCAGACCACCAGGGCCTAGTGGGCAGCAATGAGTTAGTACGTGACCCAAGTCCATGACCTGGTATTTGAGGGCCCATCCTGCTGTCCAGAGGAGGCCAGAGTCTGGCCCACCGATAAGCATGACCACAGCTCCTTTTCAGCCGAGAAGAGTCCCAAGACCCAGGGCTCTCCCTGACTGCCACTGCTCATGCTGAAACCTAAAACTGAGTCTGTTTCTGTGAATCCTCTGAGACCTCCCTCTGGCCTGCCCTACGCCCTTGTTTATTTTAATCCCAACTCTCTTAATACTCAACCCTACTCCATGTGACCCTTCACACTGTTTTCAAGAAAAGAAGCTAGTAACCACCAGCACAGAGGTTTCCTCATACCCCCCCCCCACAGAGGTTTCCTAATACTGCTGATGCTCACTCTCTTAAGACACACACTTTGCACTCACCTGGTGGGCAGCCAGCTTACACCTTAGACTTGAATCTAGTTTAGCTCCATAGCACAGATAAACAAATGGAGACTAAGTCTCCTCTCTCGCTTGGTGAGAAAGGCAAGAAATCAGCAAAGATTTCAGCTAGAAACCTGAGGTGACCTGGCTAGGGGGGCCATTGGATACTAAATAAATGCAGGAGCACATTCTGGGCCTTACCAAAGACACTCTTCCTCACTCCTCCTGCAGTGGCTGGCCACAGAACAATGCCTAACTAGTAACCCCTGAGAGAATTCCCATGCCCTGCAAGAGCCCCTCGGTCCCAGGGTAGGGTTGCTAGATAAAATGTAGAACATCCAGTGGAATTTGAATTCAGATAGAAGATGAATGTTTTTTAGTATGTTTCTAATATTGTATGATACATAACAATCCTAAAAAAAATAAAACAAAACAACTGGGGACTGGGGACATGCTTACACTAAAAATTATTCATTTATCTGAAATTCAAATTTGATTGAACACCCTGTATTTGGATTTGCTAAAGCTGGCAACCCTACCCTGGCATCCAGTGAAAACCCAGACCCTAGACAAAGAAAAGAGTGTCAACACCCTTTGTATCTGGAAAGTTATGCACACATTGGAAGTTGTCCTGAGATCAGTGGCTGAGAACGGATTCTGCACTTTATACGTGTGTTCTGTCGTGTATAATTATTTTAACTATATGCACATTTTTAAAAAGTAACTTAATACACCAAAAAATCAGTTTGCACAGGACACAAACTGCCAGAAGCTACCATTGCAGTAAGGTGGGGGCCCTGGGCCACCCAGGCCTATGTCTGGGAGGGAAGACCTCTCTTCCTCAGGGTCAGAGATAAGAAATCTGTGATGGGGAAGAGAGTCACTAAAAGCAGCCCAGCCTTGACTTTTTGGGGGCAGGAGAGATGAGTTCAAGTAGCAGCTCCACAACACTTGTAACAAGGCAGCCTGGGCAACACACTCACTGAGCCCCCAGAGTGGACTGTCATTTTACACCACTGTCCCCTTGAACACTCACCGTAATATTATATCCATTTTACGGTCCATGAAACTGAGGAAACTTGGCCAGTGTCGCACAACCGCCAAATGGCAGGGCAAGAATTCCAATCTGGGTCAGATCCCATACACCCATACACCTGGGTCACACACACAACAGACTGAGGAAGTTTCGGGAGTTTCCGCACACTGGTACGCACACCAAAGCCATCAACATCCTTACCCACACACCTGCCCACAAAGACACACTCAGATGTACTCAGCTGTACACACACGGGGCTACTGTTCCCAGAAAATTCAGCAAGCGCGCGTCCGCAGTTTTGCTGCCGCGCAGGTACCCGCAGCTTTCCCCAGGTTAGGGAAGCTATTGACTCCCACTTCCCGGCAACCAGAGGAAACGGTCCGGAGAACTACAACTCCCAAGCACACCCTCCCCTCACCAACCGTAATGCCCCCGGAGCGCAGCTTCCTGGAACTTGTAGTTTTATCCAGAAACATGATTTCCGCTCGTCCCCGGCTTCGGCCGAGGACTCCATGTCCCAGCATGCCGCAGAGCCGGAAGGGCATCCCACCGCGGCCGGGAGCGCGCAAGCGCAGCACCCCTGTTTGTCGGTGCCTGGGAAGGGAGGAGGTACGCTCGTAGCCAAGACCGAGGCCGAGCCGGAGCTGACGAGACCTGACTGGGGCCCAGAACTAGGCTCCAGTCCCACACAGATCGTAGGGCCCCCGAGTGGATGGAGTAGGCCGAGCCGTGAGATCAACGCCAGCCCGGTCAGCTCGGCGCGGGGCCCACAGGGCAGGCAGACAAGCAGGCGTGCCGAAGCCTCCCAGGGCCTTACCTCAGGTCCCTGGCAAGGGGCCTAGGCCCCGGCCCCGCGACCAGGCCCAACTTGGCCCCTTGGCACCGGAGCCGACCCGACGAGAAGTGGAGTCTTCACCGGGGCCATAGGCCAGTGACTAGGCCGGGCCCGGGCCTCCCGTCGGGGCCGGACTGGGGCGAGGCCCCGGGGAGGCCCCTAACACACTAGACCCTTCCCTCAGGCCGACGCCCTTCGGGAAGATGCAGCGCGCCCTACCGGGCGCCCGCCAGCACCTGGGGGCCATCCTGGCCAGCGCCAGCGTGGTGGTAAAGGCCCTGTGTGCAGCAGTACTCTTCCTCTACCTGCTGTCCTTCGCCGTGGACACGGGCTGCCTGGCGGTTACCCCAGGCTACCTCTTTCCGCCCAACTTCTGGATCTGGACCCTGGCCACCCATGGGCTGATGGAACAGCACGTGTGGGATGTGGCCATCAGTCTTGCCACAGTGGTGGTGGCTGGACGTTTGCTGGAGCCTCTCTGGGGGGCCTTGGAGCTGCTCATCTTCTTCTCAGTGGTGAACGTGTCAGTGGGGCTGTTGGGGGCCTTTGCCTACCTCCTCACCTACATGGCTTCCTTCAACTTGGTCTACCTTTTCACTATCCGCATCCACGGAGCCCTGGGCTTCCTAGGTGGTGTCCTGGTGGCACTCAAGCAAACCATGGGGGACTGTGTGGTCCTGCGTGTGCCCCAGGTGCGTGTCAGCGTGGTGCCTATGCTGCTGTTGGGGCTGCTGCTGCTGTTGCGGCTGGCCACGCTGCTCCAGAGCCCAGCACTGGCCTCCTATGGCTTTGGCCTGCTCTCCAGTTGGGTGTATCTTCGCTTCTACCAGCGCCATAGCCGAGGCCGAGGGGACATGGCTGACCACTTTGCTTTTGCCACCTTCTTCCCTGAGATCCTGCAGCCCGTGGTGGGGCTGTTGGCGAACTTGGTGCATGGCCTCCTGGTGAAGGTAAAGATATGCCAGAAGACAGTGAAGCGCTATGATGTAGGTGCCCCGTCTTCCATCACCATCAGCCTCCCAGGCACAGACCCTCAAGACGCAGAAAGGAGAAGGTACTGTGGAGTATTCCAAAACTTTGTTGAACTAGGAGAGTATTTTGTGATCAAGTCCCATATCGTCTGTTATACTTGCTGTATGTTGGCTGGCAGTCAAGGGTCAGGTGTTGCGGCAGACTCAGAAAGAGATAAAATCCAGTTTGTGGTCTTGAGAAACTCAGCAGTTAGGAGTCTAGGCTCCAGTAGGTGCTTTCCAACATTAAGGCGTGAAAGTTGCCTTTCTCACCACTCAGGCCACTTAACAAGTCTCAAGAAATGCTTAGTGTCCTCCAGTGCTGTGTGAGGGGTTAAGGGAAGGCCAGATACACATAATCCTGATCATCTCAGATACTCATCTCAGAAAAACATAGACACTGGTCCTATGGGAGCCAGAAACAACCTGCAGGTCTTTTTTCCCCTGTGAGGGAGGAACAAAGAGACCTGGGATTCTTAAGAGGCAGTCTGGCCACCTCTATTTCCAAATGCTGAACCACGTCCTTTTCCTGGATCTTAAAAATTCATATGCTGTGCTTCTCTGCCACTTACTGAGAGGGAAGTTTGGGGTACTACAGCTTGTCCCTCTAGCATGTATATGTCACCAACCCCAGGGGGCAGACCTTGTAACTCACTGCGGAGCCTGCTGACTACAACAGGGAGTGGAGACAACCTTTTTCGCTATCTGTAAACCAAGCCATCTACACTATCTGGAGTCCCAGATGAATTATTCACTGAATGCACCTAGGGCAAGGCAGATCTTTTTTTAATGCAACTCTCTGGCTCTCTCTCCCCCAGGTCTGACCAGAGTGGTAACAGCTCCATTTCCAACATTATTGTTGAGGGGTTGGTTTTGGTTTTGGTTTGAGGCACTTACTTTAGTAGTGAAACTTGGAGCAGGCTCTGCTCCTCCTCTCGGCCTCTGCCTTTGCTCACCTGTGAAATGTATTCTTGGCAGGCAGTTTTATGAATTCAGCTGAGTTATCCCTGTGCTTACTCTCCACTGGGGCTGTGGATTTGAGCATGGGACACACCCCTTTCTTGAAGGGGTTTCCAGCTGGGAAAGTGCCATAGATTATTATGGCCGAAGGTGGTAGATGTTGAAACGTACACAAGGCATGCCGCGAGGCGTAGGTGTGGGCCCTACAGTTTCATCTCTATGGCTGATGAATTCTAAAGACTGAGGTCTGTCTTCACTTTACCCAGTGGAGGAGATGGAACCAAGAGGGCTGGACCTGGTAGAAACTGAGTTGTCCTATCTCTGCAGGTGGGGCCAAGACACGGTGGTGACTCCTTTTAGAGAGAAGTCTGGATTGTTAGAGTTGACTGGCATTTCTTTTTTTGTTGTTATTTTTTATTTATTTCTGAGAGAGAGAGATCCTGAGCAGGGGAGGGTCAGAAAGGGAGGGAAATACAGAATCTGAAGCAGGCTCTAGGCTCTGAGCTAGCTGTCAGCACAGAGCCGGACGCAGGTCTCGAACCTACGAACCGTGTGACCATGACCTGAGCTGAAGTCAGACGCTTAACTGACTGAGCCACCCAGGTGCCCCTTGACTGGCATTTCAGAACACCTCTGCTCAGGCCCAAAAAAATGGCAGGTTGGGATAGGGAAGGTTGTCAGGATGTGGGTTCTGGCCTAGCCTTCTGGTTGTTTCTACTCCAACCAGTTGGACATCTGGCGGCATGCCATTCCCAAACCCAAATTGCTACTAGTAGTGGGGAGACAGGTTTTCCTGTCTTTGACCCTCATGCAAAAGTGCCTAGCATGCCATTACCTCTCTATGTTGGCAGGCTTTAGACAGAATTGACAAGGCAGTCTCCAGGATGGAAGCCTGGGTAGCACAGGGAAGGACTGTCCTGTCTATGCCAGTTTGCACGTGTCAGGCTGGAGGACAGGGTGGAATTGTGCTAGGGTTTTCTGTGCCCGTGTTCTTGTTGCCTTTCCTGTCATGTTCCCTGGCATGGTGGCAGTTTTGATTCTCTGCTGGAACTTGGAAGGCTAGACCAGGCTGTCCCCCATGCTTAGAGCACAGAGGTTCAGGCATCAGGGTTTCATAGTGACCACTAGAGGAAGTATCACCTGACAGCATGGCCGTTCCACCTCCTGGTTGACCAGGGTCCCAAGTGCACGTGTGTATCTTCTAGTCACTCTCTCACCTCCCCCTGAGTGAGGTCTGAAAGGGTTTGTCCAGTGGAACCAGTAGGCTTTGGCCTTTGTCTCTCTTAATGGGCTGTTCCTCCTCCTCTTTCTGCAAGGGTTTGGTGTGTCCTTGCTCTAACACAGGTACTGGTGGCTTTGGGGATTCTTCTTGGAATGAGAACATTAGAGTCAGGAGGGACGGGCTGACCCAAGTTGGCCCTGCTTCCCAAGTTGAGATCCAGGGTAGGTGCTCAGGTTCCACCATTCCCCACAGACCCTTGCCAAGAGATTCAAAATACCCCTAACGAAGAGAGAGGAAGAAGTAATAACCCTCTCCTTGGATGTCATACCAGTGCCCAGGCCAAAACTCCCACGTTCAAAGACTCCTCCCACCCATCGTACCAGCTCTGCCCATGTTTAGGCACCATCCTCAGAATCATTCGTGGGACTGGCCTCATGGGCAGTCTGGCAGATGCCCTTCTGGCCACCTCAGTCTGAAGGTGCCCTGGCTATGAAGGGAAAGCATTGCAGCCTTTGGGAACTTCTCCTGATGGCAGAAGAGGCCCTGTCCAGTCCCTGGGGAGCCCTGGGCCCTGCACGGTGAAGGGAAATACCTAGAATTCTGAGAGCGGTCTGGGTGGTAGGGGGAGTCAGCTTCATGGGGGAAGAGTACAGGGCATGAGCCAAGTGACTTGTCCTCTTTCCTCTGGCTCCAGGCAACTGGCCCTGAAGGCCCTCAATGAGCGGCTGAAGAGAGTGGAGGACCAGTCTGTCTGGCCAAGCATGGACGACGATGAAGAGGAGGCAGGGGCCAAGGTGGATAGCCCCCTACCCTCAGACAAGGCCCCAACGCTCCCAGGGAAGGGGGCTGCCCCAGAATCCAGCTTGATCACCTTCGAGGCAGCTCCCCCGAAGCTGTAACTCCAAACCACCTTGAGTGTAGGCGCCTCCTCTCCCAAGCCCCTCCTTGACACCTCTCAGCTACTACAGGGCACTGACTGCTCTGAGAAGGAAGAAGCCTTGCTGGGGGTTTCCACGGCCTTCTGCTATTTCTCGCCAACACTACCCAGGACTCTTGCTACCTGGTTCCAGCTCCAGACAACCACTATGCCAGGCATGGGGCCTCTGAAGCGTCAGCCAGCCCGGGCCATCTGAGGTAAGACTGTACCTCAGCAGATAGCCCCAAGCAAACGGCTGCAGGGACAATGGTGCCACAACTCCTGGGCCAACCCTCATGCCTGATACTGGTTGCCAAGAGCCCTGAGCCAAGGCAAGGATTTGCCAAAAACGTTCTGGGGGTCCAGCCAGTGCAGGGCTGCACATTCCTGCCCACCCTCAGAAAGACTGTTCATGTGAAAATTTCTGATTCCCTCTGCTGTGGCTATGGCTGCTTCCTGGCCAGAAGAGCCACGGCTCCCAAGTATTTTCTACAGGACCACTTGAGTGGGCAGCGGAGCCCAGCCTCGCAGTATCAATAAAGCAGTTCTTTGAGGTATGGCTCCTGGGCTCTATCAGACCACCTTGTGCAGCCCCCTCATCAAGTTCAACTGTAAAGTTAGGGACTTTAGGTTCAAGGACTTGGTCTCCCTAGCAACTCCAGCTGAATAAGGAGCCTATTGCCCCCACTCCCCCTACCACCACTGTTAAACAGCCTTCCCAGAGCTGTCACTTCAGATCCTTACTCATTTTCCCTCCCTCTGATTCCCAGTCAGGGACGCCCTGCCCAGAGGGTCTGATGGTTGAGGGTCTCTCTATCACAAAGAGCGTTCTTATCAGTGGCTCACCCCCAAGATAGTGATCAGTGCTTGACACCTATGGAAACAGCCCATCCCCAGCTCCCACCATGTCACTGTCCACATCTAACCACCAGTTTGGTGACACCAGCACAGTATGCAGCCAGAGGAGTGAAAGGACACATAGCTGTACCACTCACAGCTACAGCTCTAGGGCCCTGGGGGGCACAGGAGGCAGCCAGACCCTCAGAGCTCATGTGCTGGGAGAGTTTCAGTCCCTCAGTGAGCTGCCAGAGACAGGGGTCCCCATCTTGCCCAGCTGCCTGTTTCTTCATGCTGACAGCATTAGCAAGAACTATCCCCAACTCCCGTCCGGTCTTTTTTTCCTCCCATCTGGTCTTTTCAGTCATTCTTTTTTATTTTGTTTTTTTCTCTCCTGTAATTTCTGGACATACCAGTACACGTATGAGTTGAGTTCCTGGGGAAGCAGGTTTGCAACCCCAGCTTCACCCAGACATCATCTATAAGCTCCTCTGGGACAGGACAGAAGAAAAGGGGAAGCACTCCACCATAGGAGCAAGCAAAAATGTCACACACAAGACTCCTACTCTAGACTGCCCCAGTGCCTGAGGTGTCGTCATGACTTAGTCAGCTGAAAGAGTCCAGGAGGGCCCAGCCCCCACTACTACACTGAGGGACAAATCCAGGCTTCTAGGCTAGGAAGAGCTCACGGCTGGATCCTTTTGCGGTACAGGTAGGCATTGCTCACCTGACTCATGATGACCAGACTGGTAATGACAGGGCATAACACAGCAAGGTACCAGACCCCACCAGTGACTGTGGCGGTGAACCAGAGCGAGCACATGCCCAGCAAGAGGCTGGCACTACCCAGAAGGTAGCCCACTAGCCCAGAAGTGGCATGGTATAGCTTGAGCTTAGCCAGGGGCCAGCGCGGCAGCAGTTTAGGGTAGAGGAGTGCCACTCCACCTGAGCACTGCAACCCTGCCCACAGCACAGCTATCAGCCCTGCCCGCCCATGCCACGTGGCTAGGTGGGCCTTGCCAAGCTGTTCCTTATGGAGGATGACAAGACCTAGGCCCAGCAGTGCACACAGCAGGGCAACCAGCTGCAGTACCCAGTGGCAGCGTGCTCGGCCCTTCCGTGAGAGGGAGCGCAGCAGCGAACTCTCAGGAGAGAACACCAGCAGTGCTTCGGTCATCAGGAAAGAGAACTGGGGAAACAGGGATGGGAAACTAAGTCAGGGTGTGGCCCACTGAAAGGGAAAAGAGCTTTAGATAACTTTCTGAGCTGCCAGTCACTGTGGGCAGATTCCCCCTCTCCATTTTCTACCCTATGACAAGAGTATCCATTGGGGGGGGAAGAGTGGGGAGCTCTATCAGGGACAGAACATCTGCCCCAAGTAACTGGCAAGAGGTATGTACGGCTCCACATATCTTCCTAGGTGCTATTTTGATATGTCATGTCTGCTGTTATTACCTAGCAAAATGAGGCTTGAGATGTGGCAGTTATAAATGATTCACAAGCTCTGTTTCCCTGACACAGGGCTAGATACAATTTCTTGGCAAGAGGTGGCCACATGGGTGCACTATTTCAGGGAAAATTAGATGCATCACAATAAATTAAGGTAAAAAGAGACACAGGTACACCCAGAAATCATTTTCCAAGCTGCCTGAAGGTGGATGACCCTTCATTTTGTGTTCAGACAAATTTGCCCTGGATTTTGAACACTACAGTTCAAGTCTGGTATATACACTACAGGCAGGTGTTGCAGCATGCAACTCCTCAAGTTCCACGTTCCATCCCTTCAAAGAGCTGTTAAGTGTCCATAAGGATTCAAAAACCGCCAGGGCTACCACCCATACCATAGAGGCTATGCTCCCTCCCACCCCTAAGAGCTGGCCAGAGACACTACTTACAGCCAGAGACATAAGCGCGGGGTGCCAGGAGAAGAGACCTGGAATGAAGAGGAGGCTTTGTGAGGCTGAGGCAAGATGAACCCAGCCACATCGATTCCTACAGTCAGGAAAATGGGCAGCGCATCGCCCAAGGGAATGCTGCCAAAATACTAAGACCCCTCTTACTGCAACAAGCTCACCCCATACCTATCCTTGCTTCCTGGTCCCTCCCTGGAGCAGAGGGCATGCTTGGCCACTCCTCTGCCAGGCCTCCCTCCTTCTCGTAGCACTTCACACAAGGCAGCCAAGTGGAGCACCAAGACAAGGAAAGAAAAGCCAAACTGACAGAGCCCCCACACTCACCTCCTCCCCATTTATTCCTCCAGCATAGGCTGTCCTCCAGCCAACCAAGCCTTTCCCAGGAATCAGGCCCAAGGCTTCCTATTGCTCCTGCTCCCAAGGAGGAGGGGCACTTTCCTTCCCAGAAGTCAACTATGAATTCTACTTACTGGAGCCAGGCCTGGCAAGCACAGCCACAAAGATGGTAAAGCCCAGGGCCACAAGGTGGGCAGCAGCCCCAGAGGCAGTGCGCAGAGCTCGGTAGATGTGCGACTCGGTCTCCACAGAAAGGGCCATGGTCAACCAGGCCAGTGGCTGGAGCCTGAAAGCATAATATAATGAGCAAGGGTCTCAGATGCCTGCTGTCCACTCCTCACACTGGAGTAAGGGCTGCAGGGCAGGAATGCCACGCTCTTCCAAGAAGTTAAGGTAGGAAGGGGCAGTACCAAGACAGGCACCAGTAACAGTCGAGGGCTGGCGGCCTGTCAGCGTGTACCCAGCATCTGAACTGGCAGTGATCACTGGCCCACCTTCCAGGTAGGATGCGCAAGGCCGTGTAATAGACTACAAATCCCAGCGTGCATCACGCCGTCACCGGCCGGGAACGCCAGAAGGAAGCGCGTGAAGCACTATGGATATTGTAGTTCCCATCTGCGCACCAACTTACAGCCTGAATCCCTTCGCACACAGTCTCCCCACGTGCCGCTGGCATGCTGCCCCTACACGCTAGGGACTCGCCTGCCTCACCCGCAGCGCTGACCCGACGCGGTGGTTTCTTCCCGAGAAAGCGGGGATACTCAGGCCCCTGCCGCGCGCACTGCCGCTCCGTCGCGGAGCCGCTTCACTTCCGGGTGCGACGTCTACCTACCCGGGACTTCCTGGGACAGGCTCCACCACCACCCCCCCCCCCCAGCCACACCTCTCCGTCGTGCTGCGCAGGCGCCGTTGAGCAGACAGCTTGATGGGTGTGTGAGTGCGCAGGCGTGCCTGATTAGACCCAAGCGTTCGGCCTCTTTCCGACGGGTGTTCGCAGGAGTCCAGGAGCCAGAGGCTACAGACCTAGGCTCTGCTGGCGCCATGGGCAGCGGCTGCCGTATAGAATGCATATTCTTCAGCGAGTTCCACCCCACGCTGGGACCCAAGATCACCTATCAGGTGCCATCCGGACTCGCGGGGCCGGGGGCAGAGAGGGATGGGGAGAGGGACGCTCTCGGGAGCTCAAGCAGGCTGCGTGGAAGCGGTGGATTTCCGTGCCGGGTGCTGCACGCAGGCACACCACTCCTTCATTCGTGTAGAATCTGAACCGAAAGAATACTCAGACCCAGATCCCAGGCTCCCAGTGTGGCGGAGCAAACAAACATCCCATAGCTATTGTGGGAAATCGAGCTGTGGGGATCCAGAGGAGGTGCCAGTTCCCAATAGAGACAGAGATGCGCGGTCCAATAGTATCCCTAGATGCTTAGGAGTGTAAATGGAGAAGAGAGTGTGCCAGGTAGGGGAAACAGCATATGCAAAAGTCGGGAGGCAGGTGAGAACCTGGCGTGTGTTTGGAAACACAAAGGAGTCGTAGGCCTGGATGCATGGGAGAAAGGTGAAACGCTGAACAACAGGGTTTAGGCATTGGGGTTCCCCCAAGTTACCCTGCCTAGTACGAAGGTCCACTAAGGGGCCTCTTGCCACTCTGCTCCCCAGGTCCCTGAAGACTTCATCTCCCGGGAGCTGTTTGATACAGTCCAAGTGTACATCATCACCAAGCCAGAGCTACAGAACAAGCTTATCACTGTGTGAGGCCCTAGTGGGGAAAGAGGGGGATGTCCCAGGAGGAGTGGACAAGTTTGGGGGCAGGAAGAGCCTGACTCTATTCCCACCTGTTCCCCCTATCCAGCACAGCCATGGAGAAGAAACTGATCGGCTGCCCTGTATGCATCGAGCACAAGAAATACAGCCGCAATGCCTTGCTCTTCAACCTAGGCTTCGTGTGTGACGCCCAGGCCAAGACCTGTGCCCTTGAGCCCATTGTCAAAAAGCTGGCTGGCTACCTGACCACACTGGAGGTCTGCAACAAAATGGGCTTGAGTGGATGGGCAGGCAGACAAATGTTTGTAAAGCCCTCCAGACCTGGGAATCTGCCAGGGCAGGATCCTGGCCAGGGGTCCCAGGGTGTGCCTACCATGTTGTCCATGCTCCATTCAGCTAGAGAGCAGCTTCGTGTCAACAGAGGAGAGCAAGCAGAAGTTGGTGCCCATCATGACCATCTTGCTGGAGGAGCTAAATGCCTCAGGCCGATGCACTCTGCCCATTGGTATGGCCCAGCCTTTGCAAGGACAGCAGAGTGGTAGAGGAGGAATGGGAACATGGCAAGGGAAGGCAAGCCCAGCCATGGACAAGACTCATGAACAAATAGCCATGAGCTGGGTTGATGATGTCCAAGGTCCAGTGCATGTTGGGATTTGGGATGTGAAGGCCATGCTCCATGCTCCTTGGGCATGTTCCCTTCCCTCTCTGGACCTATCTCTCTTTCCATGAAAGGGGAAGATTGGGGGTGCCTGGCTGACTCGGTCAGTAGAGCACGTGAGTCTTGATCTGAGGGTTGTGAGTTCCAGCCCCACAATGGGTATAGAGTTTACTTTAAAATGGGGAGGTGGGGAGATTGGCCCTTCCCAGAGCCACCCATCTGTATCAAGAGCTTCTGGGAGGACTGGAGGGTAATTGAGGGCCTCTTAAAGGAGATGACACTGAAGATATGGGTGGGTCCCTTGCAGATGAGTCCAACACCATCCACTTGAAGGTGATTGAACAGCGACCTGACCCTCCTGTGGCCCAGGAGTATGACGTGCCTGTTTTTACCAAAGACAAAGAGGATTTCTTCAACTCACAGTGGGACCTCACCACGCAACAGGTGTGCTAGCCCTCCCTGGGTATCATCACATAGGCCTGGCCACAGCCCACTCCTCATCCCACTCCTACTGACCCTGCCCTGCCCTGCCCAGATCCTGCCCTACATTGATGGCTTCCGCCACGTCCAGAAGATCTCAGCAGAGGCAGATGTGGAGTTAAATCTGGTGCGCATTGCCATCCAGAACTTGCTGTAAGTGGGGCAACAGTCACACTCAGGACAGGATTGCTAGCCAGGGAAGAGCCCCGGGACCCTGAGTGTGGGGGCTTGGGAAGGCATGGCCCTCAGAAGCTGAACACAACTATCTCCCCCAGGTATTATGGTGTGGTGACACTGGTGTCCATCCTCCAGGTAGGTGAGTCTGGGGTCTGGTTAAGCAGAGAGTGAATCATGTGGCTTGGCCAGACTGGGGCTGTGTCAGACTTCCAAGCCCCTCACTCAGCCCCCTGTGCCTCCTGCTACCCTCCAGTATTCCAATGTGTACTGCCCGACACCCAAGGTCCAGGACCTGGTAGATGACAAGTCTCTCCAGGAGGCGTGTTTATCCTATGTGACCAAACAAGGTAGTGGCGGGCTCTGGGGGAGGCCATCTTGGGGAGGGCAGAGCTACAAGCAGATCTGACCCCTGGTGCCCACAGGGCACAAGAGGGCCAGTCTCCGGGATGTGTTCCAGCTGTACTGCAGCCTGAGCCCTGGCACTACTGTGAGAGATCTCATTGGCCGCCACCCCCAGCAGCTGCAGCGTGTTGATGAACGGTCAGAAGGGGATTCCCAGGGGCATGAGGGGTTTGATACTCTGAAGTATCTGAAGCCCTGGGTTAGAGAGGAATCAGGAGATTCCCAGTGAGCAGAATCATGTGGCATTGGTAATTCAGGCAGGCTCTCTGAAGATGTGTTTGGAGGCCAGTCTGGTCACTGAGACAAAATCGGAAGGGAGACTGCAGGAAAGAGTTGGCCTGGCTGGAGGATGTCCTGGCCAGGGCATCACCCTTCTTTCCCTCAATCCCACCCCAGGAAGCTTATCCAGTTCGGCCTTATGAAGAACCTCATCCGGCGACTACAGAAGTATCCCGTGCGGGTGTCTCGGGAGGAGCGGAGCCACCCTGCCCGGCTTTACACAGGCTGCCACAGCTACGATGAAATCTGTTGCAAGACAGGTGGGGGCAGGCAGCGCAGCTGAGGTGGGGGCAGGGCAGGGTGGTCAAACCAAGGTTACTCACCTCACCTGCACTGTCCCAAACAGGCATGAGCTACCATGAGCTTGATGAACGGCTGGAAAATGACCCCAACATCATCATCTGCTGGAAGTGAGCCTGGGATAGGCTGGTCTAGGCACATGGCTGTGGCTACTCTCTCCTGCTAAGCCTTGCCTGGTGCATGAAGGCTAGACTGGTAGACTAGTCCATACTGTCTCAAGGTTAACCCTCACTTCTGTGAATAAAATCATCCATTTCATCCTGCTTTTATTGAGTACCTCTTCTGAACCAACCATCGGAGAACTGGCAGTGAAATAGCTGAGGTCCTGGCACCTTAGGCGCCATCTGGTGGGCAGGACCGACTATTGACAAGTAAATGTGCCCCGGTAATTATAAACTGAAATAAACAGCCAGAAACAATCAGGAAGCTGTGATGAAGAATGACTTGGGGTGGGAGCTGGGGCTGTTCTGGATTAAATGGGCAAGGCAGGCCTCGTGGAGGTGACTTGAGCTGAGGCCTGGAGGAGTAAGAGTATTCCAGGCAGAGGGAACAGGTGTGAAGCCATGAAGTAAAAGCAACTTTAGGATGTATGAGGAACCTGGGGCACCTGGGTGGCTCAGGTGGTGGTGGCTCAGTCGGTTAAGCTTCCGACTTCAGCTCAGGTCATGATCTCACAGTTTGTGGGTTGGAGCCTCTGCATCACACTTTCTGCTGTCAGTTGGAGCCTGCCTCAGATCCTCGGTCTCTCTCTGCACCTCCCCCCCTCAAAAATAATTAAACATTAAAAAGGGGGTGTGTGTGTGTGTAAGGAACCCAAAAGAGGCCCACGGGCTGGAACATGGGAGACAACGGGGCAGAAGGACAACAAATGAAGTACCGAGGTAAGGAGGGGGCAAGACCATAATACTGCAGAATTGCTGGTAAGCTATTTTGGACATACTATTTCGAGGACTAGAGACGAACAGAGTCACCCAAAAAAAGACTACAGCAGTTACTTCGTGACACGTGATGGTAGGTAGCCTGCTAGGCTAGGATTGAGAGACATGGGCATTGCGCAGTACTTTAGGAAGGTGGATCTGAGCAAAAGGCATACTAGAGCCAGGAAGCCACGGAAAGGCGGTACGGCTGAGACGGAGTCGCTGCAGGAAGAGCTGGTGGAGGCGAGGTGACCCCATCCCTATGCGGGTCGACTTAACGTCCGAGAAGGGAGCCTAGGCCACCCAAGTCTGGCCACTCAGGGCAGACCCATGAGCCGCAGGTGGATGTGCAGGAGAAAGCTCTGGGAGTCCAAAGAGGGCTGCTAACTGCAGCCAGGAAAGAGAGGCGGGCGGGGGCGGGGCCGGCGCCTGCGCAGCCCAGACTCCCCCGTTTCCATGGCGGCGAAGACCCACGCGCCCCAACCGGTCGGCAACGGCTGTGTTCGAGACCTCGACCCTGCGGGACACGGTCGTTCTCGAAAGTTTCAGCACCCTCACTTCAGCGTCGGCTGCTGCCCAGGGTCAGCTGAGCCCTGCCTTCCCACTGTCTGTCCCCGGCCACAACATGGGCGACCTGGAGCTACTACTGCCGGGGGAGGCTGAAGTGCTGGTGCGGAGGTTGCGCAGCTTCCCGCTGCTCGAGATGGGCTCCGGAGGGTGAGGCAGCTGGATCAGAGTCAGGCGGAGTCGTGGGGCCAGAATCCTTGAATGGGGGAGTATGGGCCTGACACTGGGGGAAAGGGTGCCCGTTGGGGAGGAGCCTCCAGGTGAGAAGACGAAGCTCAAGTTAGGGGTCCTGATTCCCCTCTGGCCCCTCGGAATCAGGTTGGGCTTCAATAGGACCGGCCCTCACCCCACTCCTACTGCACATAATGTGCACTCAGATGCACATACACTCCTGCTTTCTGGGGCAGGTGGATCCAGCAGCATGAGAACTTGGAGAAGCTGAACATGCAGGCCATCCTTGATGCTACAGCCAGCCAGAGTGAGCCCATCCAAGAGCTGCTGGTCACCCATGGGAAGGTACGCTGGGGCCACAGGCAGGGTTCCTGACTTCCCACCATCTCCCACACCACCACTCTACTAATCAGGAGCACCCTTGGTGCCTGCACTTGTCTTCCCCAAGGGAAAAGAGAGGAGTGTGTTGCACATTTGATTTTGCACCCCTTTTGGACAAGACCCTGGCACACCAGGCCAAGTGTGAGGCGTGGGTTGGTTTGGAAGACAGTTATGGATCATACAACAGCCTAGGCTGTAGAGGGAGGGCCTAACTTCTGAAAACATCCTTGAATAGACTATCAGGCCAGCAGGGGCCCTCACTGAAATGGGGGTGGGACTTAGGCATGGAAGGAGGCATCTTTCCTAACTTGAGAGAGGAGTTGTTAATCAGGGATCAACCTGGCTGGAGCATGAGCCAGGAGGTGGCTGGAATAAGTGACCTCAGATACCACTTGACAAAGGGTTCTTCTGCAAAGAAAAGGTGGAGGCCCCTAATGGAGTTGAGGGGGAAAGACTAGAAAACTGTACAGGGCCTTGAGTAAAGGTGAGGTCAAGACACACCAGAACTTTGGAAGAGCAGAGAACAGAGACAAGAAGAGAGAGGGCATGAGCAGGAGAGCCAGACGGAGGGAATGCCTGGATAGGGACACAGGGGACAAGGGTGTAGGTGCAGGGTGGAGCAAGGCAACCTGTGGACAAGGCAAGAGCCAATTACAGGAAGCATGGAGGATGTCCCCACAGAGGTGTTGAGGACAGCTAGAAATGAAAGTCTAAGGTGCCAGAGAGAGTCTAGGAAGCTGCCTATGGGGAGAATCTAGGAGCCAAGGAGCATTTGAGGAGAGTCGGGCTGGGCTGAGCCAGGGATGGGAGGGTTGACAGGCCACGGTAGGCCTACTTCTGTCTTTCTCCTCCCCCTTAAAGATCCCAACACTGGTGGAGGAGCTGATTGCAGTGGAGATGTGGAAGCAGAAGGTGTTCCCTGTGCTGTGCAGGCTGGAGGACTTCAAGCCCCAGAACACTTTTCCCATATACATGGTGGTGAGCCGGGCTCCTGGGTCATATCCTGCCCACGCCTCTAGAGGGCCCTGGACTAGAGAAGAGAGCTGATAATAGCATCCTTCCTTCAGTAACCCCAGGCTCTGTCCTCTTTATCTGACAGGTACACCACGAGGCCTCCATCATCAACCTTCTGGAGACAGTATTCTTCCACAAGGTGAGGCATCAGCCCTCCCCACTAGCTACTGCTTCCAGCAAAGGCCTGAAGGGAGGGAGGTCGTGTCTATGTGGGAAGAGCATCAGAGACAGAATGTTTCCCTTCTGTCTGCCTCTCAGGAGGTGTGTGAGTCAGCAGAGGACACTGTCTTGGACTTGATAGACTACTGCCACCGAAAACTGACTCTGTTGGTGGCCCGGAGTAGCCATGGCGGCCCTCCTGAGGAGGAGGAGCCCCAGTACAGCACCCCCATGCAGGTAGGCTGAGATTCCCTCGGGATGTCAATGGCTTGACCAGGCTCTTTTGAGGCCTGAGCAGGCAGGGGGGTGGCCCAGCTTGAGCACCATTGTCGCCCCCCAGGAGCTGCAAAAACAGGCAGAGGTGATGGAGTTTGAGATCGCATTAAAGGCCCTCTCGGTGCTGCGCTACATTACAGACTGTGTGGACAGGTGGGCATCCCTGCCAGGGCTGGGACCTTCAGTGGAAGGCTGGGAGCCTCGGCCTGTAGCTTCTGCTCACTTCTCTCTACCACCACCTGTAGCCTTTCCTTGAGCACCTTGAACCGCATGCTCAGTACCCACAACTTGCCCTGCCTCCTGGTTGAACTGCTGGAGCACAGTCCCTGGAGCCGGCAGAAAGGAGGTAAATCCTCTCTGACCTGCCTAAACCCCAGCTCACTGCTTCCCGAACATCCTCCAGGATTTGTGGGGATGGGCAGCTTGCACACACAGACAGACAAACTATGCCCATTCGCCCATAGAGGATACCAGGATGCCTCACCCAATATGGGTTTAGACCTGGGCTCTGCAGCAGGCAGAGTGTGTCCACTACCAAGGACTCCCCTGCTTTGGAACAAGCAGCACCCCTGCCTGGGCAAGTCGTGCATTTGGGCAGCACCCCAGCCCATGCAGCTGTCTGACTCAGAGTGTGCAACATCTGCTCCCAGTGCACTGGTTCTTCTCCCCAGGCAAGCGGCAGCGATTTGAGGGTGGCCGTTGGCAGACAGTGGGCCCCTCAGAGCAGCAAAAGCTGAGCAAGTTGGATGGGCAGGTGTGGATTGCCCTGTACAACCTGCTACTAAGCCACGAAGCACGGGCCCGCTACTGCCTCACCAGCTTTGCCAAGGGACAGCTACTCAAGGTGGGGAACTCCTCCTGCATTGGTACCACTCCGTCCCACACCTGCTGTTTATCACTGCCCACCTACATCAGCCCCAGTACTCTTTCCAGACCTCGAACCTCAGCTAGTGGCACAATGTCCCCACATGCATTTCAACCCAGCCCAGCCCAGGTCCTCTCTGGTCAGCCCCACTTCACATTGGCCTCCCTCGGATTTCCTTGCAGCTTCGGGCCTTCCTCACAGACACACTGCTCGACCAGCTACCCAACCTGGCAGACCTGCAGGGCTTCCTGGCCCACCTGGCCCTGACCGAAACCCAGCCCCCTAAGAAGGACCTGGTGTTAGAACAGGTAGGGACTAGGAAGTTAGTTGCTCAGGGCCACTGTCCACTTTGCCAGCTCCTCCCTAACACTTTCCACTTCTCTCCCTCAGATCCCAGAAATCTGGGAGCGACTAGAAAGAGAGAACAGAGGCAAGTGGCAGGCTATTGCCAAACACCAACTGCAGCATGTATTCAGCCCCTCAGAGCAAGACCTGCGGCTGCAGGCACAAAGGTGGGGCCTGCTGAGTGGGCAGAAGGGGTGGGAGGCATGAAGAAGGCATGGACTCAGGCAGCAGTGCTCTTGTGCCCCCACCAGCCAGGCACAGCCAGGCTTTCCTGACCACTTTCCTAGATGGGCCGAGACCTACAGGCTGGACGTGCTAGAGGCAGTAGCTCCAGAGCGGCCCCCCTGTGCCTACTGCAGTGCCGAAGCCTCCAAACGTTGCTCACGATGCCAGAATGAATGGTATTGCTGCAGGTGAGAGTATCCTAGGGCCTTGGACTCCTAAGCCCCACTCCCATACCCCCCACAAGAACTGCATGCTCAATGGTCCACCTGCTTACAGGGAGTGCCAAGTCAAGCACTGGGAGAAGCATAGAAAGGCTTGCGTCTTGGCAGCCCAAGGTGACAGAGCCAAGTGAAGGCTACAGCTGCTGAGGGCCAACCATCCATGCGGTACACCCACTCAGAATGTGCCCTGAAACTCAGGATCTCAGCCTAGCCTCTGCCAGAGCCCCAGCTTCCCAGGTGGTGAGCACAGCGGGGAAGGGTGGAGCCGCCCACCCATCTCCCCCAGCAAAGCCCTCCCCACTTCCTGCCCTAACCAGCGGGTAGGCTGAGGGCGCTGCCTCAGCAAGCAGGAGGCCTGGGCGGGGGCAAAGGCAAGGGCCGGATGTGGGGACCCTGTCGGTCTAACACAGTAAAGCTGGCCTCTAGAAACAGTCGGTCTCCGAGTGGCCTTTTGGGGTGGTCGTCGTCGTCAGCAGGATGGGTGTTGCTTCTAGGATGCTAGGAGAAAAGGAAAAAGAGGGCGGGGACTCTGCGAGATCGCGCCCGACTCCGCACCCTCGCCGCTCCACTCCGCCTCGGGCCGAGTTACGATTACGCCGCTCGGCCGGGTTCTCTCCCGCCGCCTTGCTCGGATCCCGGGGGCGGCGCTGCATCGGGGTCCGCCCAGCGGCCCCGCCCGCCCCGCGTTCGCTCGCGCCGACAGCCCGCGCGAGTCCCCGCGCGACCCGGCCATGTCCACGAAACCCGAGCTCATTGAACTGAGGGAACTGGAACCCGCGCGGCGCGCGGGCCCGGGCCGCACGCGACTGGAGCGCGCCAACGCGCTGCGCATCGCGCCGGGCACCGCGCGTAATCCTGCAGGGCAGCTGGTCGCGGGCCGCGGCCACCACTTCCAGCCCGCGGGGCCTGCCACGCACACGTGGTGCGACCTCTGCGGCGACTTCATCTTGGGCGTCGTGCGCAAGGGCCTGCAGTGCGCGCGTGAGTAGCAGCCCCGCGCGCTGGCAAGAGCGAAAAGGGCGGCCAAAGGGCGGCGGCGTCGCTGCGTGTCAAGTCGCAAAGGAGGGGGTCGGAAGGGTTGGTTCGGCGGGCCCAGGTCCATTACCTTTGCCCCGTCGTGTAAGAGTGCGGGCAGATAGGTGGTTTATAGCCTTGTCTTATTCCACCTGCATCAGGTGCACAGTTGGGCAGAGGCGGCTGCCTATGACAACGGTGCTGATTTCAAGCTTTTTATCTAATTTGTTAATGTTTTCATTTATTTTTTGAGAGACAGCGCGAGGAGGGTACGTGCAGCGTGGGGGTGGGGGGGGGGGGGAACAGAGATCCGAAGCAGGCTCTGGGCTGACAGCAGAGAGCCGGTCGCCAGGCTGAAACTCACAAACCGTGAGATCATGACCAGAGCTGAAGTCGGAAGCTCAACCGACTAAGCCACCCAGACCTCCTCAAACTCTTTTTCTTTAAAGTGTCTTGGTTCTTCTTGAGAAAGGCTTCGTGCTGACCAGTCTCTAAGTCCATGTTCCTAGTCCTGCCCTTTCCCAAAGATTCATTCACCACGTCCCTCTCCAAAAACTCTGGCATGAGGGAAATTTACCCACCTATGGGATGGGGACAGGGAAAAAGTACCTTGGGTGGGCCCTCTGCAAGCAGAAATGTTGTTGAGCAATACCTATTACAGGCCCAGTCAGCCTGGTGCTAAAACATGAAACACCACACACCTGCCGTCCTTCTGTCCTCCCAGGAATCAGCGACTAGCAGAGGTTGCTGCCCCGCTGGCTATACACCAACTAGAATCGGGTGGGATTTTACAGCCCTCAAAACCCCTATGCCTGGACCTCAGACATGTTAAATCAATCACTGGGAGTGTATCAGCTATTTAAAAACAAAACAGATCATTCCAATAGGCAGCCTGGGTTGAGCATCACTGCTCAGGCCCATTTAGGGAAGGTGTCCCAGGCCTATGCAGGCACGGAGACCCTCTCATCCAGTACAAGTCTGTCCTGAACACCAGAGTTGTGACAGAATGCCAAGCGTGAGCAAGGGCTGAGAGACTGCACTATTCCCAAGGAGAAATGAAGCGGTCACAGAGATTTAAAAAAATAAAAGACAATTTGGGTGTGTGTCAAAAGGGAGGAATCAAGGGTAAATTGGGATTTTTTTACTTCAAACTGGGAGAGTAGCGATTTTTGCTAAGATGAGAAACTCGGGGTGGGGGGAGGGGGAGTGGAAGAAGAGTTGTTTTGGCCGTGTTGGGTTGACACAGAGTTTGATCTGAGGAGGGAGATCAGCAGTGGGAGCCTTGGATCTGGAGTGTACACAGAGCAGAACAGTGATCAGGACTGAACTGAACCTCAGACCCGCTGCCCATTAGATCTGGGAGTTGAGACAGAACCAAAGTTGCTGAGCAGGAGCTGCAGAAAAACGGAAGGAAAACCTGAGTAGTGGGAAGCCCAAGGGGAGCACGCATCAAATGATGCTGAGGAGATGAGGATGAAGAAGGGACATGGCATTGACTGTGCACAGGTTGCTGAAGACCCTAACCAGGGCAGTTTCCTGGAGGCAGGGGCAAGCCTTACTGGAATGGTTACAGGAGAAAGTGTAGGTGAGGAATTAAGAGTGTGTGCAGGGGCACCTGGGTGGCTCAGTCGGTTAAGCGTCCAACTTCGGCTCAGGTCATGATCACACGGTTTGTGGGTTTGAGCCCCGCATCAGGTTCTGTGCTGACAGCTCAGAGCCTGGAGACCGTTTCAGATTCTGTGTGTGTGTGTGTCTCTCTCTCTCTCTGCCGCTCCCCCACTCATGCTCTGTCTCTGTCTCAAAAATAAAAAAAAAATTTTTTTTAAGTGTGTGCAGACTACTGTTAGTAAGTTTTGGCGTGAGGGGTGTAGAGACAAGTGACAGAGGGAAACAAGAGTTTAAAATTTTTGGTTTTTTCCCTTCAAGTAAATGGGCGGAGGTAAGGGTGACAATGCGGAAGGGAAAAGTTCTGCCCTAGGTGCTAGAGATACAACTGTTTAACAGGCCTGGATCCGTAACTGCCCGAGGCCTTCCCACCAGTTTCCAGACACCTGGGGACCAACACTGGAATCTGAATAGCAACGCAGGGCGGGGGGAGTAAAGGGACTTAAGATAAGGCCAATCATGTAGAGCCTGGCGAGCAACGGCCTTCATCCCGGGGTTTCTCTTCCGTGCCCCGGAAAGTTTCTCTTAACTGGAGCTGGGGCTCCACCGCCTCACAGCCAGGCTTCTCCGCAGATTGCAAGTTCACCTGCCACTACCGTTGCCGCGCGCTCATCTGCCTGGACTGCTGCGGGCCCCGGGACCTGGGCTGGGAACCTGCGCTGGAGCGGGACACCAACGTGGTGAGCGGGGGGCAGGGGGGGTGTACGGGAAAGGCGCGAAGATCAGCGGGCCGCATTGCAGGAGATGCCTAGGACCACCCTGCGTTGCATTCAAGGAGTGGTCTAACAGCGGGTTTTCCCGCGACAGAGAGTGGCTAATTCTGCGAAGGGGCTCAAAGGGATTCCGGGGAACTGACTCGGCGCGAACTGCCCGGAATAGCCCAGGCTCCGCGCCCACTCAATTTCCGCACCTTCCCGCATCCGCATCCGGTCTTGAGGCCACGCTGGTGCACATGCGCACACACGCCGACTTGTTCCCCAACTGAGGTGGGGTCTACGAGGCGGAGCTGAGCTGAGCTGCCTGGGCTATGAGGTCATTCCTGGAGGCGTGGCGTGTACGACCCCGCCTTTCGATGTTCCTCCCCCAATGAGACCAGAGCCAGATCCTGGCTGTCTACGTTTCAGTGTTAACGGTTGCGGCGCGAACCCAGATCCCGGCGCACGCGCACACGCGCCTGGGGCGGTGGTTGGAGGCTACGGGCGCACAGGGTTCGGGGAGCTGGCTGGCGGGCGCGGCGATGGGCGAGGCGGATGCGGGGACGCCTTCTTTCGAGATGACCTGGAGCAGCACTACAAGCAGTGGCTACTGCAGCCAGGAGGACTCGGACTCGGAGCTCGAGCAGTACTTCACGGCGCGTACCTCGCTGGCACGCAGGCCGCGTCGGGACCAGGTGGGGGCCAGGGTTGCGGGTGGCGGGCTGGTGAAGATCTTTGGGACTCTGCCCCTCCCCGCTAAATTGCTGGCTTGAGTTTATGGGAGGGGACTCCATGCCGCCCGGGGCCAGCCCTCCGAGCCTTGTGCGGGGCTCTTAGCGACTTGGTGCCGGGTGCCGAGGCCTTGTTGTCTCTGTCACAGACCAGTTGAACCAGGGGAAGCAGCTACGTGGCTTGGGGTAGACCTGGGACGGGCATTATTCACCTATGACTAAAGCCGACTGCGCAGTCCCGACTAGCACCTCGATTTCCGCGTTGGGACGCCCCCACCTCCTCTCTGGGAGACGGGGGCGGGGTAGGAGGAAGTGGAAGGGGAGGTGTCGTCGCCTGGAACTGGGAAGTGTGTTTAGGAGAGAAAGGCGAAGGAAGTTTCGTGCCTCTCCATTTGCAATACTTGAAGGAGCCAGCTGAGTCCCCACCTCTCTTACCAGTCTGGCCTGTCACCAGCTGCTGGAAAGCGGAGAATTCTGGAGTGGACCTGGCTGGAGTGTTCATTTCGGCAGCACACATACTAAAATTGGTGTGGATCTGGAGGAAGGGCATTTGGTAATGGATGGGAAAGAATCCTAGTTCTGGACTGGACTGTAAGCAAGCAGGAGCACTTTATCCACACGAGGTAGGGCAGGCTAGATTGAAAAACCCCCAGAGGAGGGGTCAAGAGAGATAGGGGTTACAAATCCAGGACTGTAAAATGTACTGGAGTAGCTGTTCCTCTCCAATCCTTCTAGGCGTTCTCATTATCAGAAATCTCTATGTTGTGTGCCATGAGTGTTAACTGCCAAACTCAGGTAACTATTCTGGAGTGAGTAAACCTCAGGAGAGCACCCTGGACAGAGTGTCAGGAAGGAAAGATGGGAAGGGTAAAGCCCAGAATACCTAGCAGCACTGGGGTGGAATTCCTTACATGAGCCACAAAAAGAGACCTGCGGGTGATTCTTTAGATGAAAATTGTATACTCTTTAGATTAAATTTTACTCAAAAGTGCAGCCCAGATTTGGGTGCAAGGTTTGTGTGTGGATCCTGTCACTCAGGCTTGAGGCATTTTTCATTGTGGAGTAGTGAGAAAACCACAAGACATCAATTGCAAAGGAGGCTGGGGAGTCCCAAATTATATGTAAAATAAAAAGCATCACTAGGGACAGTGGCAGCATAGAGGATGGGTCACTGTAGTGCAGGAGAAGGAAAGTTCCATGGTCCTGCTGTGCACACTTCTGGGAAGGCTGTTAGAATCCTCCAGCCCCTCAGTGACTCAGTTGGTTGAGCTAGGACTCTTGATTTCCACTCAGGTTGTGATCATGATCCCAGGGTTGTGGGATCAATCCACATGGGGGTCCACAGTGGGCATGAAGCCAGCTTAAAATTCTCTCTCTTCTCTCCCTCTGTCCCTCTCCCCTATTCTCTCTTTCTCTCTCTTAAAAAGAATCCTCCCATGAGAAGCTTTGGAAGTGGGAAAAGAAACTTTTCTTCCTGTAGAATCCTGGTAGGACAGTGCAGTGCCTACAGTCCAACTCCCTTGTTTTATGAGTAAAGATATTCAAGGAGGCTGGGGGAAAAAAATACTAAGGGAGGTTCACTTGGAAAGGGGAAGGGGCTAGAACATAGGTCACTGCACCCCCGTCCAGGGCTTCTGGATAACCGGGGAAGGGAAGAGGAAGGAGCAAGTGTTCTTATCCTCAGGCTGGAGCTCCGAGCCATCACAAGCAAGGGAAATAAGTTGGTGCCATCCATGTGCCCACTGTCCTATAAACAGAATTCTCTTCTTGCCCTGGTATTGAAGTCTGCTCAGCTTTCCTCCTGCCCTTAGCAGCCTCCTATCTGGATACTCCTTCCTATTGGGTCACTCCTTCCTGTCCCAAGCCCTCTCCTTGGGCCTGAACAAACACATCCACCCTTTATTCCCAGGCTCTAGCCTTCATTTTGCCCCCCAGATCTCCCTTTTCCCAGGGCCCACACCATTTGTTCTTTACCAGTCTTAGAGGGTTTCTTCTTGTCTCCTATAAGAGTTCAGTTAGAGTTTTCCCTTCTTAGTGCTATCCTCCATCCAGGAGATTTTTTGAAACTTGGGGGAGCAAATAGACTTCAGTTCCCACCCCTCCCCCAATACCTTTTTCCTGTGAGGCCCCAGCCTCAGTCCTCCGTGCCACATACTTACTGGTAGGTTCTAGGTAAAGAGCATACTGCTATAAAGCTGTTCTAGGTGAAGAGCACCCTACCTTCTCATCTGTCCACACTATTTGTCCCCATCAGATGGTTTAAGCTTAGGGGCTCCAAGGCAGCAGTCAGGGAGAAGCCTGCCTCTCCTGGGCTCAGAGCTGGGTACAAGGTTATTCTGCAGGAGACCAGCTGTAAGAACTCCCCTGGGACAAAGCATTGGTCAGCAGTAATCTCAGCTGTGTCCGTGAGACTTTCATTCCAACCAGGACCTGACGTCAACAGGAAGTAAGGCTGATGCAATGGAACCAGGGAGTTTGGTAGAAAAAGTTAATTCAGAGCTCTGGCTGCCCTGGTTTATACTCCACCCTTCTGACAAGAATCCAGCCCTGGAGGAGTGGGGGAAGGGCTGAGTGGTAGAGCTAAAAATCTTTGGGCTAAACCTCCAGGTAGGAGGGAGTAGGTGCAAAAGCCTACCTGCTTGGCACTTGTGGGACAGGCTTTACCAGGAGGCAGATTGGAGTCTGGCCTGAAGCTGCCTTTTGTGCGGCTTGGGTCAAGATCAAATCACAGTGGTTTCCTCACTATGTGTGAGACATGCAGGGCTGGCCCCAAGTTCCACCAGGGGGTGTTAACATTGTAGAAGTTGCCCTTTACCCCCTGGCTGGGCTCCTGGTATGCACCAGTCCCCATACCGCTCGCCCTGTGGTCATGGCCCTTTGCCAGGGCAAAGTGGTCTCCTTTCTCCAGGACACCCTTGACCCTACCCAACTAGGGTGCTGGAATCAAGCTGTGCAGTTGAAAGATGGTTTTACTGTCAACAAGAATCCCACATCTTTTCCTAGCCCCTGTCCTTTTAGCTTCAGTTGTCTTGGTTTTAAGGTATTCTTAGGGCCTCACTCAGTGCTGAAGAGTCCCCAGGTAGGAGGCATAAAGAAGCCACATGACTCCACCTTTGCTGTGTCCATCCATAGCATGCAAAACCAGGAGCAGTGATGGGTTCTTCTCATCAGGACTCAAGCTTTGTAGTCCGTTTTCAAAGGCTGCCCCGGAGGCTGTTTTTCAAAGCAGCCAATCTGGATTCACCTCCCTGTGAATGTCTGTGACATGCACTGCAGTGGGATGGGTTCTTTTAGGGCCCTATGTCCACCCTGGCCCATCTTTCAGGACGAGCCTGTGGAGTGGGAGACCCCTGACCTTTCTCAGGCTGAGACTGAGCAGAAGATCAAGGAGTACAATAGCCAGATCAACAGCAACCTCTTCATGAGCCTGGTGAGTTGACAGCCGGGGAAGGGGATGCCAGGAGAGGCAGGAATCCAGCTGTGTGCCTGATTCTCAAAGGGTCACAGCTAAGATATTCTTGGGTGGGCCTAAGCAGTGATTTATTCGCACCCAGCCTAGCCCCAAGTGGACTGGCGGTGTCCGTATCTGTTCCATCTCACCTGGAACCTAGCCATGTTCGGTTTCTCCTCTTCAGAACAAGGATGGCTCCTACACAGGCTTCATCAAGGTTCAACTGAAGCTGGTGCGCCCTGTCTCGGTGCCCTCTAGCAAGAAGCCACCCTCCTTGCAGGATGCCCAGCGGGGCCCAGGACGAGGCACAGCTGTGAGGCGCCGCACCTCCTTCTACCTGCCCAAGGATGCCGTCAAGCACCTGCATGTGTTGTCACGCACACGGGCACGCGAGGTCATTGAGGCCCTACTGCGCAAGTTCTTAGTGGTGGATGACCCTCGCAAGTTTGCACTCTTTGAGCGGGCTGAGCGCCATGGCCAAGGTGGGCTTCCCACCCCACCCCACTGTATGAAACTATACATTCATGCATTCATGCATCATGTGTGAGGGGGTGAGTGGGCTGGGCCTGACTAATCAAATACTCTTTTCTCCCTGCCTGGCCCTCAGTGTACCTCCGGAAGCTGTCAGATGATGAGCAACCCCTGCGGCTGCGGCTCCTTGCAGGGCCCAGCGAGAAGGCCCTAAGCTTTGTCCTCAAGGAGAATGACTCTGGGGAGGTAAATGTGAGTACACAGCCCTCTTTAGTTTCTTGGTTGTCACTGGGTAGGGCTAGTGGGTTGCAGCAGCAGTAAGGTTGGAAGGAGGAATAGGGATGGAGAGAAAGCCCTACAAAGCCTCTCCAGGAGTATGTAAGCCTTGTAGCTAAACTGAAGCCTTCTAGGCCACTCAAGCCAAGGTCACGGGCCTGTCCCAAGAGGCCAGATAGAATTGTCTTGGTGGTCTGCTCTTCTCTGTTTTGGAAAGTCCTCGGGAGATGCAGGAATCCATGATAGTATGGTGATCCTAAACGAGATCAAAGCCACACAGATGGGCCCAGGATGTCATAGAGGCTCCCTGTTCAGGCATTAGGACTTTTTACCAGGAAGCCTTCTGGCTCTAAAGTATTGGGTCTGGTGGGGCGCCTGGGTGGCTTAGTCGGTTAAGCGTCCGACTTTCACTTAGGTCATGATCTCGCGGTTCGTGGGTTCGAGCCCCGCGTCGGGCTCTGTGCTGACTGCCAGCTCAGAGCCTGGAGCCTGTTTCAGTCTGTGACTCCCTCTCTCTCTGACCCTCCCCTGCTCACGCTGTCTCTCTCTCTCCTAGAAATAAATAAAAAATATTAAAAAAAAAAAATAAAGTATTGGGTCTGGGTAGTAGTGTTAGAGTCAGAGTGTGGGCGTGACCTGTCCACAGGTACCTGGGGAACATCTAATTTGGTTGCCTGTCTTCGAGGTGTCTTCAGCTGCCCTACTTTGTGGGGCCCATCTTCTATACAGATCATTGTCAAGATTCCTAGCAGAGACCATTCAGGCAAGAACCTAACATTAGAAAGCCCCATCCTAGCTGTGTGATGTGATTGCTGCTCTTCTCCGGGGAGGGCCTGCTGATTTGGCCATGCCTGCATCCTGTGTCTCCCCCCCCCCCCGCCCCACCCCCCCTGCAGTGGGATGCCTTTAGCATGCCTGAGCTACACAACTTCCTGCGCATCCTGCAGCGGGAGGAAGAGGAACACCTCCGCCAAATCCTGCAAAAGTACTCCTATTGCCGTCAGAAGATCCAGGAAGCCTTGCACGCCTGTCCCCTGGGGTGACCTCTTGTACCCCTGGGTGAAAGGAGGAGAGTAGGCAGTGCCGAGGGCGTGCCGTGTGAGTGTGACAGGGCCCATGTGGCCTGAAGAATGAGTGTGCATGGAGGCCCTCTCTGACTGGCGGAATGAGCCCAGAGAACAGCAAAGGAGCTGGCCCCCTGTGTCCACCCACAGAGCATGGCTCTGCATTCTTCTGCCCTTTGTGCAGTGGGCCATGGTGGGCCAGGGTTGCCCTGGGAAGCTGCTCCAGGCTTGCAGCAGGGATAGAGCAGACAGAAGTCTCCTTACTTCGTGTCTCAGATACTAGAATCTTGGAGACCCTACAAACAGAATAGGGTCATGTTTTCAGGGATGAAATCTATGGGCCTTCATCTATGGGGAAAAGTCGTATGTTTTGGGTCTTGGATGGGGTGTCAGGACAGCCGTATTGGAGCCAAAGGCAGGTGTTCAAGGTAAGGCAGGCATCAGGAAAGAGCCTAAGTTTCCCTCTACAGTGGCCTCTGTCTCATACACACTGGGGTCAGGAAATGCTGGCTCATGGTGCAGCAACAGTGCCTCAGTACCTCCTCCAAGGAGGATGTCCCTAGGCCAGGGTCTGTATGAGTGTGGGCACTGGTCCAGGTCCGTGCCTTCTTTGCTAGAGCGAGGGTCTTTCCCTCAGTTATTTTTGATGATGTGTGCGAATGTATGTAATATTTGTGGCCTCAGCTGCATGCCTCCTGTGGGGAAGGGGGTGGGGGTGACAATCATCATCAGGGCCTGGGGCCTGAGAAAAGTGGCTGAATAAAGATTTAAAAATTCTGCTTTCGAACTCTTTATTATGGGCCCTCAACTGCAATTGCCCCTCACGCCATTGGCTGCCAAGCGTGATGGACAGGCTCACAGAGCACCTTTTCAAAGTCACCATGTGACCGATTTGTGAAGGGTGTGGGGTACGAATACTTACTGTCATCACTCACCACCCAGGGGCTCAGGTTGTGGTAAAGGCAAGAATATAAGCTAGAATTTAAGGAACCCACACGCCTCCCAACAAACAAGCGCGCGACTGCTGGGAGCGTTTTCACCCAAGTATTTACTGAGCTACTGCTGTGGACCAAACACTGCTCACTGTGCTGAAGGCCCAGCTGTTAATTCTTGCCTTCGTGGAACATTCCTTCTAGTGGGTTTGGAAAGAACACTGAATTAGAAGTTCTTCAGACCTAGACGTAGCCATACATTTGGCTGATTTTCTTTAGGTTTGGTTTCTTCTCCAAATGCGACACTGATCACAGAAACGGTGTGGGAATAAAATGAAGCCAGCCAGATTGGCAATGCGCAGCCTGGCCTGGGACAGTCCTTAAAGCGCTGGTTGCGGGGAAGCTCGTGGTTGGGCCGTCCCACTGGACCCGACCTCTAGGGGTCAGGAACGTCGGACGCTATACAGGCAAAAACCAGGAGGACCCAGCTTCCACATCGCTGGGTGGGAGCTGTCCCTGCTGGAGAGACCGTAGCCTGTAGGAACCTGACGTCTCGCGGTGCCTGCTGGGATGCCTAGCTTCTGAGAGCGGCTATTGGTCCCGCCCTGCGGACCGACGAAAGAAATAGCCAATCAGAGGAGGCGGCGTGCGGGGCGTGCGGAAGCGGAAGTGAGGTTTCCGTGGAGACAGCGGAGCCTGCGGAAGGCGGCGGCGGAAGCACCTGCGAGTGGAGGCCGAGGCAGGGTATGGTGGTGCCGACGGCCCTGTGAGAGCGAAGCGGCCGCAGGGCTCGCCATGCGCCGGCGGCCCTGACATGGGCGCCAGTGGCTCCAAAGCTCGGGGCCTATGGCCCTTCGCCTCGGCGGCGGGGGGCGGCGGCCCGGAGTCAGCAGCCGCTGAGCAAGCTTTGGTGCGGCCGCGAGGCCGAGTCGTGCCCCCCTTCGTATTCACACGCCGCGGGTAAGGGCGCGGGTTCCGCCCCGGGGAAGACAGGCGGGCGGCGGGGCGCCCCGCGGAGAGCTCCCGCTGAAGCCAGGAGGAGTCCCATGTTTCGGGTCCCCGTGGGAGCAAGGGGTGGGGAATGCAGGGCAATCGACTCCTGGCGACCTGGCTGCTCTGAAGGTCTCCCTAGGGTAAGAGGGCCTCTGTACTGTTAAGCTGAGATAGGGCCTCCCTGAGACTAGAAGCTTTCTTTTCATCCCTTCCGGCCCAACCTGCAAGTTGAAGGCTCCTAGGCTCTCTCTTCCCCAGTTCTCAGGGAAGACTAACCTTCTGCTTTGGCTGTTTCCGTTACCTACCGTGGTGATATTGGACCTCTGAGGGTAGTAGCCAGGAAAGTAGGACTGGGTCCTACTGTTGAGAATGGAGCCTGGGAAAAAAGGCCCTCACCCAGGTATGTTCTTCAAATCTAGAGCACTGACCTTCCCTTTCTTTTCCATGGGTCCAGACAGGAGCTCTAGATTGGCCTGGCCCTGATGGGTCCAGGTAAATGGTACTCAGGTGATGCTGGAGATTTGGCTGTAGATACTAGGGAGACCCAACAGCGGTAGTTTGGCTAGACCAGCCACCTGGGGGTGGGTGGGGAGGATTCAAACTTTTTCCCTTTAGGCTCCCACTTAGCTCAGGTATCTGCCATCTTAGGTTGGCCCGAGGGCCAGTAGTATCTTCTGGAGTGAGACACCCGCCCAGGCTGTCATGCTTCGCCCACTCTGGGTGAAGGCAACGGCTTGATGTTGGAATGGCTACTTTTGTTGAAAAAAAACCAGTGATGAGAACTGGCCTTGGCTACCTTGACAATGTGCTCTGATGTGATTTCTCTTCCTGAGGCCTGACAGAGGAGCACTGGCTACCTCTCTTGCTTCTAGTAGACCCTATACCCTAAACAAGGGATTTTTCGGGCATATTAACCTCTCTTCCTCCCATCAACGTTGCTCCTCCCCATTTGGAGGTGGGCACACTTCCTTGTAGTCTGGTCATTTGCCATGACTGGGTTTGGGGCTTCAGCCCACCCTGTTCCCTCTCTCTCTACACAGCTCCATGTTCTATGATGAGGATGGGGATCTGGCTCATGAGTTCTACGAGGAGACAATCGTCACCAAGAATGGGCAGAAGCGGGCCAAGCTGAGACGGGTACATAAGAACCTGATTCCTCAGGTGAGAGGCTGGGGCAGTGGTCCTTGAGCCTATGTTGAGTGTGTGAAGGTAGACCGAGATGGGCTTTGCTGTCATGGTGGGAGCTCTTGAGGGAGGAGCTGACCCTCACCAGCCTCTGTTTCCATGGCAGGGCATCGTGAAGCTGGATCCTCCCCGCATCCACGTGGATTTTCCTGTGATCCTCTATGAGGTGTGAGCCTGGGGAGTGGCAGGCATAAGCGCTCCCTACCCCAGCAAGACACCCCCAGGCTTAAGGTGTGGCTTCCATTAAGGAACCTAAGCTGGGGCCACAACCCTGAATAAACTGCATTGGCCCGGAACCTTCAGCTGTGAGCGAGGCAGTCCTGCAATATTGGTCGGGTGTTGGTTTGTATGTGGACAAGAGGTGGCTGGCGGCTGGTGAGGGCTAATGACAGAGTTACCAGCCCATCTTCCCCAGCAATCCCTACAAGGAGCATGGCAGGGCATATGCTGGTCAGGAATGCCTGGTTCCTGCACCCTTGCCTGGCCTGCTTTCTTCCAAGCTTGCCTAGGGCCCAGCCCTGCTAGGGGCTACAGCACTTTACAAGCAAGGTCTGCCTTCTTCCAGCCCCTGGGCTGCAGGAGCTGTATGCAAGCGGGAACTTCCTTTCCCTCATTTCCCTTACCCCCTTGTTGGAGCATTTCAGCCGTTTGCTACCTCGATTCCTCCTGTGTTGGACAGAGGCTGGGGGCAGTGCAAGCCTGATTCTTCCTGTCTGCCTGCTCATCTGTTCCCCCTCCCAGACGGATGGACAGTTTGCCAGCTGTTAATAGGAGATGGGACTGGTGTAGGAGGATTCTCCTTCCACCCAGGGCTGGGCTGATCCCTACCCACTGCAACTACTTGTTGCCCCCACCCCACCCCCAATTGAGACAGCCTAAGACGGGATCAGGAAGGGCTATGGATGCCTGTGCCTATGGGGAGTTGTACCAACCCACCTACTTTGTCTAATCCTCCTTGCCTTTGTACCAGCCCTACACACACACCCCTGCCATTGGGAGACCATCCGCCACCCATTGGTGAGGGACAGCACCCAAGGGCTGGTGCCAATAGCTATAAGGAGCCCACCACCCCTTTCCCTAAGTATACCTATCCCTCAGGATCAGTCAAGGGAAGGTACTAGAGCCCCTGTAGGAACAGAAAGGAGAGATCAACCATAAAGGAATACTTAAAATGTGAAAGGTTGTAAATAGTCTAGTCCATGATGTTGGGGCAGAGTCTGATTTCTACATTGAAACGATTTTTTTTTAATTCCTTACTGTGCAAGCTCTGTGCTTTTAAGAGTGTGGGAAATGGCTTGGGAAGGGTGGCCCCTAATCTAAGAAGACTGTTGTGTTATTTGTTTAGTTTCAATAAAATTATTTGTAGACCCTGTATACAAGAGTGGTAACTGCTGTGACATCCAGTGTCTAGACCACCACCTGGGCTCTGTGGGTAGTCTGGGGCCACTGGTGGCCCCCATCTTTATCATTAAGGCTCAAAGTAAGCCCGAGCCCAGCCTGTGGCCACCCCAGCTGTGACCAGCAGGTGGCAGCGTATTCACACAGACTTCACTGTAGACCACTCAGAAAGGACAGACACTCATCTATTGTGTTTAATAGGTAGAGACCTCTGGAATTGTAAGGCTTCTGGGTGCTTCACTAGGGATTGGCCCTACCTGCTTGACCTGAGGTGACAGCGTAACCCCAGGTAGTTCTGGAATAGCTGTCCTGCCCCCAGCAGTACGAAATGACCCCACATGAGGTCATAGCATGAGCTATCTTATGTCCACCCATCTTAGGTGGACAGTAGTCCGATGGGTGCTACCATGCCTTTGGCCTGTACTGACAGACTCTGTAGTCCAAACCTACCTGCTTCCTCCCAGGCCTACCTGTAGATACCACCAAGAGAGTGGGCTTGGGGCTTCTGTTCCCACAGGCAGAACTCTGCCACTTGGTACTTTCTCTGTTCCCTGCTGACCCTGTGTTCTCATCTGCAGGGGGGATTCAGTCTGTACTTCTCAGGCCCTGCTATAAGGCTGGTTCTCTGCTAGGTTTAGCCCTTGGCTGTCAGCCCAACTTCCAGCTAGGGAGGAGGGAGATCAGGGACACAGGCTTCTGGGTCTGGGGAGTTGGGCTGCCGGTCTTTTGGAGGCTTAAACTTGTCAAGTCTGGAGCAGGATCATCCCATGCAGCCTGAACTTTGTAATTCTTCTTTGCGTACTTTCCCACTTTTCCTGATAAGATGCCAGACATAAGGCCCTCTCATCCTCCATTGTCCCCCTTATTGCTTGAGCGCCAGGATTCTGCCATGCCAGACGGCATCCCATCACCCATCACCACTGTCCCAGTGTGGGGGAACTCCCTGTGTTGGGCCTGCCCCAGCTGACCCCAAAGCTAGAAACAATGGGGGTCAGGGCAGTGCTTCCCCACTCCCTTCCACTGGGCTGTGCTCACTTCCTTCCTGCTGGCTGCCTGAGGAAGTGTCCCTGCCCTGGGACAGTCTGGTTTGGCCTTTGTTTCCCTAGGGGCCTCCACCATTGCAGCCTCCAAGGCTTGTGTCCCTTGTGGAGCCAGCACAATGGTACAGGGACACACCCTCCCCTGCCCTGTCATGGACTCCTTGGTCCTCGGGCAGATTCCAGGGTGTGTACCCAATTCCCCCA